TGGCATGTATACGTTTTTCTTTATTCGATAATAATGAAGTTTTTGAATTAATTTATGTGTTAATTGAGATTAAGTTCATCTCCAAGTGATTTTAAAAAAGCATCTTTTACGTTGATTTGGTGTATTATAAAAAAAATTTAATAAATTTCTCTATAAGTCAGGAAAGGGAGCAAACATAATTGATTTCATAGATAACATTAATTAGTGCATAAGATGTTAAATTGTACGTTGTTGTCTATTAGATGGCTACAACACATATTGGATAGTGACACTCTGGTTTTTTATTCAATTTAAATTGATACCTCAATTTTGACTATGTACAATGTTATACATTACCATCAATGGGTTTGGATTGTGTTTGAAAATGTTTTTTATAATGCGTTTTGCTTTTTTAAAAGCTTTCATATGATTTTAATATACTAATGTCAAAATCATTTAAAAAAACATCACATTTAAAGCATTTTAAATCAAAATACTTTCATAAAAACACCTAGAAAGCATTACCAGTTGTACGAACACATAAGAATAGAAAGAAAAAGAAAAAAGAAAAAATCGTGCTGCAAGCAAGAGGGCTTTGAAAGTTAGTTGTATCTAAGGAGCACACATGATTCTGAAATTCAGTTTTCAATTATGGTAGTGGGTCCGTGAATCCGATGAAAGAAATCAAACATTTCTTCTGGGTTAAAATAAATCATCCAATTAAGGTTGTCTTGCTATCTAAGAAGAAAGGATTGAATTATTTTATGATCAGGTCTCTTTAATTTTCAATTACGTTGTTAGATTCTTGATGTTGACCCTTTATCTTTTTTTTTTTTTTTTTTTCTTATTGGTCAAACATCTCATCATACAACCCAGCAACTCGTACTATCTCGCATTGATTAAGCACTTATAGATATCATGAATTAAAAGGGAATCTGTAAGACTGTAACTAGTCAAGATCTTGGAAAATCGAACACCCACTAATCATCACTGTACAGCAACCTCGAGAAAGATAGAAAGGTTGGTAGGCAAGACACCAATTTTAAAGTGGTTCACTACCTCTTGGAGAATTTAAAAGTTGTCGGCTTAATTTGTTTTGCTGGGACAGTGTACTCCAGCAATAAAGTTTTCAATGGAGTGCCATCTCCAACCCTCCTTTTGAGCTGAAGAAAAAGTTTTATGCTTATGTGAATTATTTTGATTAATATCTTAAGTTTTTTTTTAATATAATTTAAGAATTTTAATTTTATATTATTATTATTTTAAATTTTAATATGTTATATAAGTACACGTGAGAAGCAACGATTATAGTAAATAACAGTTTATCACGTATTATGATAGATTGAAATTGAATAATTGAATTGGTGACATGACAAGTTATTCTTCACTAGAGGTTGTCATGTATGTTTACGTGATATATTAAGATCTAAAATAACAATAATATAAAAATAAAAATTTTAAATTAAAAAAAAAAACTTAGGATCTCAATAAAAAAAATAAAATTGTACAAAGTTTCAATATGTGCAAAATCCGTCGAAGAAATTAACAAAATGATGTAATTTATTTAATAACATTCCACCACTTCCATTCATAATATAAATTGTTTGGCTTTTTTTTTCTGTCTTAAAATGATTGTACAATCAAAGCTCCTATTATTTTTAAAAAAGAAAGGTGATACAAGCTTGTACAACCACACCAATTTTAATTAAATATTGGGTTTAGTCTAATAATTAACTTGTTGGGAATGCATGGGATGCTAATCGGAATCAATTTGACTAAGTAATAGCACATACCTGTACAATTCGTGCCATTCACATGAATTGAATCCCACATCAAATGGTCCCAATTTCTAGAATCGTGACAGTACTTTTATTGGTCCAGTCACTTGAGAATTATGTGTTACCTTGTTTTTTATGAAATCAAAAGAAAGAAATCGTGAAGAAAGAAACGAGCGAAAAGTTGCAATGAGGGAAAGATAGATGTTGAAAATTGGGGTCTCATGCTTGTGACCCTACCGGCTTGTTTAAAAAAACTGTCGTGCGATATCACATTGACAATATATTTTTTTATTACGCCTACTTAATTGTTGCTCAAAAAAAAAAAAGTAATTAACATAGAAAAATAGATGAAAAAATAAGATTTTTTTAAAATAAAGTAATATTAAATTAATTATGATAAAAAACTAATTAATTAACTTTTAAAATAAAAAATTATAAATTTATTTTGTTAAATTAAAGAGATCAATTTACAATTTACTAGATATATATATATATATATATATATTGTCTTTTTAGGTATTGTTGTGATTTATGAAGATGGAGAAGTTTTCCAACTTTTAGGTGTTAGTAGAAGTGCTGACGTTGAGGGCCAAAGCCGTCCATACGTCACTACGACCAAGTTCTTCTCTTACACAAGAGAACGAGAATCTACCAATGCTATCGCGCGATCGAAAACGTCTAACCAAAAAAAAAAAAAATCAAACTCTGTCTTCTTCTTCTCTTAATTTTTTGAATAAAAAAATTATCAAGTGGTCGCATGTTAAATGATTGGAATTTAATATATATATATATATTACCAAAGTGCGTACCATCTCGCAGGATGGCCTAACAATCACGTGACAACATTCGACGACGACAAAGCTGTTCGGTTCATGACAAACAATCATGCTCGGTTTAGTTGATTCTTAGTGTGGGGCCCCGTGGGGCTTTATCATACAAAGCTGATTTGTTAAAAATATTAAAACACAATCAGAAGCCGACATTTTGTTTCTCGTTCATGTGGTGGGTCCGACCAATGTCTATTCTTTTCTAGGTGAAGTGGACCCACCTTCTGTGACCAGCCAGGTGGCTCAAGTCTCTCTCTCGATTAATTATTGGCGATAACCTCTGTGACTTGTACATGTTCTAGAAGCATGACGTAGGTTTCCATGTTAAAAAATTTTCAATTCGAAACTTTTATTTATAATGAAAAACTTAAACATATGTTAATGAAATTTATCCATTTGATAAAAATTATGGTTTTTAGCTATGATTTTTGTTATGATATGATTATAGTTGATAGTTGTTAAAATGTTTTTATATTATGTAGATTTAATGTTCAAAAGTTTCATTTTGTAATTTGTAATTTTTATTTTCTATGTAGTTGTTAAAATGTCTTTCAAAACAGTTTTTAGAAATTTATCAAATAACTTCTTTTAATGACTTTTTAAAACCAAAAAAGATAACAATTAAAGTTTCAAAATGGACACTTAATCATCGAAGAATCATAGAGCTTGTCTTGAGCCAACATCCTTCAAAAGTTCACACTGACAAACTACCTCATGCATCTATGAACAACCAGTGAACCTTTTTTATATATTTTTTTATTGGGCTAGTGACCTACTTTAGTTAGATTTTCTTTTAACCTAATCAAAGCTCATTATAAAAGATTCTTGATGTTGACTCCTCAATCAAAAATTATTTTTGGTCAAACCTATTATCGTATACTACAGCAACTCATGCCATCTCATACTGACAGATCACTAATCATAGATATCGCAAATTAAAAAGTGGGATTTGTAATTAATTTTAGTGCTTGAAAAGTCATACACTCACTAGTCATCAGTGCACATTTACAGCAACCTTAAGAAACTTAGAAAGATCGGTAGGTAAAACATCAATTTGTTTTTCACAGGGACAGTAGTGCACTCCGACAATCACGTTTTCAATCCCCAAGACTCCAACCGTTGGATGATTCTTTTGTGAAGAAGAAATTAACAGAATGATGTCATTTATTCAATATCATACCAATACTTCCATTCCAAAGACATTATTGTGCTTTCTATTTTTATTGCTCTCAAAATGATTATACAGTCAAAATACCTATAATTTGAAAAAAAAAATGTGAATAAGGAAGGATAATTGGATATATCAATATAAACATGGCAATCATTTTTGTTATAAATTTTAAAGATCAGATGTATTGCCAATAATATACTCTATTTCATTTGGAAAATTATGTTTTGAAAAAACACATTTAATGTTACCAAAGCAACTACGTTGGAATTGAGTTGAGAATATAGTAAGTAATTTTGGATCTCCATTTGAACAACATATGAAACACACACATGTAACAAGAGTTGTATGAGTTATGAACATCATCGCCATCCACCAATTCTATCAATTTAACTTATTTTAGGAAACAAGCTAAGACACATCACACAACCTATGAATGTCGAAAGTGAGATCTACGTAGTCAAAATCTTCCATTATGACTTAATAATAAAAAAAAAAGAATTTCTAGACAATAATAGATCTATGGTAAAATCATTTATTTACAACGGAATGATATATAAAATTAACAGATTTTAATTAATACAAAATAAGATTTATAATTACACAAAACATCATGAATAGTTCTAAATTTAATCCAAAATGAACTGTTATAAATGATTTATTGAAACCATTAAACTCTAAATACGGTAAAATAGCTTCGGGTGGAGAACTAAAAGTTCAAGTTGAAAATAAAGTTATGTATTAGCGGCTCAACAACCTAGTAAGCCAACCTCTTAACTTTTGGTACAAGAATTCGTATAGACCATCATCATCGTCCACAAACATTTCTGAGATCTCGTTAATGATCCAGCGATCCATACAAAGAAGTTATAATAATGTCAAAAAAATGATAATTCCGTGCATTTTTGGATCCTTGAAAGGGACATCTTGCAGAAACCTTGGACAATTTTTTGTTTGTAAAATCATAACATCGAATGTTGATTATTTTATTTCGATCAATCACAATTCACAATAAGTCAGAAAAATGAATATATGCTGACAAGCTTTTAGCATTTCTTTCTGAGTATGGACCCACCAACGAAGCTTTCGTTGATTAATTAGAGAGAGAAAAAAGTTTCATTCTCTGACATAAAGTTTGCTTTGTTTACACAGGTTTTAGATCTAACTATATATAAAGCCTCGCCGAAGGGAAAGTTCTCATCAATTGCTCATCAACTTCTCCCAAAAAAATACAAAAATAAACAACCAATGGAAATCTTCACCAAAAAACTCAACAAAACTGATCTTGAGAGAAGACTGTTGCTTTCAGAAAACTATCTAAAAGATTTCCCAAGAGACCATGAAGCAAATTTGAATTTTAAGGACGAGGATGGGAAAGTGTGGACATTTCGTTGTAGAGTCCCACCTGGAAGCCATTCAAAACCAGCCCTTTCTGGGGGTTGGTTTTTATTTGTTCGTGAAAAGGGTCTCGGGATCGGCGATGTAATAATCATCGATGAAGGGAAGGATATAGCAGCCGGAGGGCATTTCAAAATCAAGGTTAGGAGAACAACTTCAAAGTCTTAAGACTAGCGATCAAGTGCTCTATCTAGCTCGTTTGATCAAACCATTGGGCTTGTTTGAGCTAATCAGCAAGATGGAAGCAGCTCCATTTGTGAGTATAGTGCAAGTCTTGGGTCGGAATCCTTTAGAATCTGCAACGCTTGCATTGAAGATGTGATTCCACTGCTCTTTCTTAGCTGGGGCTCTAGTTGAAATGTTTACTTTTGATTCTCTGCGATATCCATGAACAATATTGAGTTCCTTTTTTCCCCCTTCCGGCAGCATCTGCAACCGCTTAATGAATCAGACTGATTAGCTACTATAGGGCTCGCCGTTGTATTACATTAATATTGTACAGGGTTGAGATGTCGTTATGTTAGCAATGAGCTTTTGCTGTACATTTTCTACTTATTAATACAATTTTGCCTTTCAATATAACTACAAATTTTCTGTTAATTTCTTCTTTTCCAGATAATGTGTAGATTAAGCACAGCTTTTTCATTAGAATTAAAGGCAGTGTAGTTTTTAAGCTTAGAAGATAGAGAATTAGATTTCAGTAACTTGGTAGATGATCATTCGACAATGGCTGTTTGTAAGTTGAGTGCTATGGGTTATTGTCAGTATCTTTCTATGTCTCGGTCGATCTCTTCTCTGACCCCACTGATTATTTTAGTGAATTTTTGAATTGTCGGCTGGACGATCATCGTGCGATTTAACAGTTTATCGTCATGACAAACTTTATGTTTTACAGAGGTTATCTTCTTAGCAAGTGATATTTGGCAAATCTGAGAAGTGAACAATTATGAACGTAGCCCACAAACCCACTCACATGGAAATTAACTTTTGTTAGATGAAGATTTTATGGTTTGGTCAATATATTCTTGCCCTCAAGATTTTTTTTTTTTAAATCTTTATCAAGTTAAGGAGATTGTTATTGCTTGTCAAACTAGTTCGGATTATTCTGACCTTTTCAAACTCAATAATCAAGTTACTAAGAACAAAGAAGCTAAAGACAAGCTTCATCTATGCAGTCGCATCATATATAATAAAATAATACATTTTTTTTACAGCATTAGACAAGAATTTTTAAAGATATCTATAACTGACTTTTGAAACAAGCAGGTTGGGTCACAAGAATGAGACCCAATTTGTCAACATCAATCTTTCGATCATTGCAACTTTTCGTTCGTTTCTTTCTTCATGATTTGTTTCTTTTGATTTTATCGAAAAATATGATAACAAATAATTTCGAAGAGACAAGACCAATGCAAGTACTTTCATGATTCTAGAAACTGTGACCATTCTTGCAACTCGTCCGGTGATGTGGGATTCAATTCATATTAATCGCACAAATCGTACAGGTTTGTGCTATCACTTAGTCAAATTGATTACGACTAGCAACCCATTCCCAATAAGTGAGAATATATATATATATGTGTGTGTATGCATGCATGCGTGTGTGTTATTGATGTTAGAAAAAATTAAGGTTTAGGATCTAAATCTCATTTTTCTTATTTATTTGTAGCTATCACGAGATTTAATTAAGTTTATTTTTTTATTTTAAAAATATTTAAATTTTTTATTTTTAATTTAAAATTAATTTATATACATAAAAAGTGATTGAATCCACTAGACGAGACGAGGACAATAAAAAAACATAATAGATTTTGAGTAGAAATAAAGAATACGATAAAAATAACATACTGCTTATGTTCGTGGCATCATATCACCAACTATGATTGAGACATAATTAAGCAAAAAAAGAAAAAAAGAAAAAAGAAGAAGAAGAAGAGATAAGAATATTGAATGATTATGAGCTTGAATCTTTGTGGAAAGTTAGAAATATATTGGCTTTAAAGTGGCGTGCTGATCTGAAAAGCTGATTTGAATGGATTTCTTTTTACATTGACCCACCATACTGGTAGAAACAAATTTAATGCACAATTGAATAAAACCATCAATAATCAATTGTTTGTTTTCTAATAAAAGAAATTCATATCACCTTATAGAACTATTACTTAATTTTTAAGAGTATGGTGATAAGAATTTTCAGTATCTTATAGAACCATTAGTTAATTTTTAATTACCTGCTCATGATGCTTAAAATAAAAGTTTTGTCCACAAAGAGTTTTAGATTTTTTGATTTGATTGTAAAAATTAATTTTGCAGTTTTGTAGAAATAAAATACCTTGTTGATTTCATACAGAAATTTATTTGTACTTTTATAATTATAATATACAAATATGTTTAAGACATTTATGTTTCTGAGTAAATCATAAAAAAAATCTAAAAATATTATAAAATTACATCAATCGTTTAAACGTTAAAAATTTCGACAAAAACCACCTTATGTTTAAATAAAAATTATAAAACCCTTTTTATATCCAAAATAACCTTGATATTTCTAAAATCATTCCCTTCAACAATTATTTTAAAATCCTTTTCTTTTTCTACCCACAACTGCAGTCTAAAAAAACAAAATTTACAATAAATGTATATAACAAATGAGAGGAAAAAAGTGGTCGACAGCTAAAGCAATGTCATGCTCGTCACTTGTCGTTAGTTATAGCAGTTGGACAAGTCAGCACCACCAATATTTATCCTAAAGGTTTGTGGGCCCATATATGTGGGGTATATGTGAATAAAAAAACGCAAGATAATCTGAGATTATAGATTTTTCGAACGTTGTCAGTCGGTTCATCGTTCGTTATTGCGCGACTTTAGTAAATTTCGAAAGAATCAAGAAAAAATAAATAAATAATTGTGAGTTCAATAATACAATTGACCAAGATTTGAAGACAACCAGACCCCACCATCAATTATTGTTTTTCTGAAATTAGAACCTCGATATTCCAAAAATGCTAAAAATATCAACTAAATTACAAGCTGGTTTGTTGCTGCTATTATACATTTATAAATAGTGGGAAGAGAGTGATGATGGTGGCTACACTTTCAGACCAAACTTTCTATCTTAGATAGTGTTAGAATCTCCCAAATCTCTGGCAACATGCCGAAAAAGCTAATAAAGAAGACACTCTCAAAAACCGACATTTATTATAGAATGGCAATTCCGATGGATAGCCTACGGGCTTTCCAAATTCAAGAAGGAGAGTACTCAAAAGAATTTAAAGTTATTGACATCAATGGTCGTGTATGGACATTCACATGTTCCACCAGAAGAACTGATCCCTACCCCAAACCAGTCTTGTCTTCAGGTTGGAGAAAGTATGTCAAACATAGGGGTCTAAAAGAAGGGGATGAAGTCACCCTTTATCAGATGGAGAAAGATGGAGCTGATGGTCTGAAATTTGAAATTCAAGCACGTAAAAAACTCAGGTTATTCGGACAAGACCATTGGAGTGGTCCCCTTTGAAGAAGAAGAAGAAGCTATTTCAGGTATATATATATATAAACCGTTGGTGTTGTTTATCTTCTATATATCTTGCTTCTTGTATCAGTTTCAGCCAGTGGCCTGGTTCCTTCTTCTCTCGGAGGGAACGGTTCCGGCAGGGGTGGGTAGGGCATCTCAGAGGAGTTTGATTTCCTAACTGTACTAGTATTCAACTTAGCATATTTCCTCTTATGTTTGGTGCTAGCTAGATCTTCTAATCATGTGAGGGAAAGAGTGAATGCTTGATTACCCTCCATGGTTTTGGTCTGTATTTCCCATCTAAATGTCATGTATAGCTAGCTTGGATAGCGAGAAGAAACTTTTCATACTTTTTCCTGAATTGCAAATTAATCTTTTCTTTTTGACCCTTTTTACGAGTTCCATATATTAATTTCCATTTCATCGGTTGTTTTTTCCGATTAGTTTCATGAAATTGTCTCGTCAACCGATCAGAAACGTTTCAGAAATCACAGACTTCGACAAGGCAATTAAACCAATTGTGTTTAATATTATTATTATTTTCTTATATTTTATTTTTGTTGAACTATTTGCTAGGTGACGAAGCTGACAAAGAAATCTGTTGAAAGATCCAATTCTGCTTTTTGTGCCTTTTCTCGTTGAGCAACGAATTGATCATGTTTTTTGTTTTTTTTAAAAAAAGCAAAAGGTCCTCCAATGATAAATAATTGGAAAACATATCTGTATTACTTATCTGACAAGCAGAAGTACTTATCAGATGACTAAAATCAGCCTTCTATTGAGATTAATACTCTCTCAGTTCCGAACAAATCAAAACAGTAAATTAAATATTGTTTGAATTTTTTTATTTTTTTATTGTACTAACTATATTATTCTTTAAAATTAAATGTAGTTGAATAAATATATACGTGAATTCAATTTTTTTAAAAGGATAAAGTAGTAAATCTAAAACTCAATTCTTTGACGAGGACATACATTTTGGAATATTTAAAGGTAAAAAAAGAATATTTTTTTGGGAAGATAGAGGGACTAATTCTTGAATTTTTTTTTTTTTAATAACTTGAAGTTACCATGACTTTAACACATACAACATTATAGATTAAATATCAATCATATATATGAGATCAAGAGTAAAATTAAAAGTTTTACACAAATTCTCAACCATTATATATTTTTTTAATTTAATGACTAATATTTAATTAATGATAAAATTCATCTTTTGTCTACCTAAATTATATTTCCATTTTTATTCTTTCTTGATTACTATCATCTATAATCTTTCTCTAACAATATGAACATCTTGATTTTGTAAGAAAATGTTTAATAAAATTAGCTTTAGTCTGTGTTATAAAAATATTCCAATTTATTTGGCAATGTACACCCAAATTGGGAGAAACAAATGTTATATAATTCCGGCTATTGATTTTTTCAATATACATACAATTATTATTAATGCTTCCAAAGTCAAACAAAAGGTGTGTGTCTATATATATATATATATATATATATATATATATATATATATATATATATATATATATATACACGTCATCATATTACTGGGCACAACATCCTTGGAAAAATTAAAGAACGAAAGGACACCCACGGAGCATCTCATCCAGAGATGTTGAAAAATGCAAGTAGATATGGCCCTACCAAATTAAGACATACTTTCGAGTTGCAAGGTTTTCGCCAGTTATCGAGTGGAAAAACCATCCTTCTCAAAGAACAGAGAAACACACAACAAATCAGTGCATGCAGCATCATCATTCCACTACCACCATATAAAATTGTGATATGATATAGAATGAGTTCAGAATGAAAATAATTTTGAGAGGCTTGTTATTCGAAATCGTACAATTAACGATTATTTATTTATTTATTTATTTTATAGTCTCAAAATGTATTTAGACATTTAGATACGACAAGAAAACCCTCCAATGTTTGGTTAGCAATTGATTTTAAGATTGTTCGATTTTTCGATTCAATTTCGATATTTTTTCTTATCAAATCTATTAAAAAAAAGTATATTTATTGAATTTTTTCAATAAGCATTCGACAATAATTAATGCTTCCACAGACAAACAAAAGCTATATATATATATATATATATATATATATATATATATATATATATATATATATATATATAAGTAAGTGATTAAGCTAGTAATGGGTAAAATCATCCTTGGAAAATTTAAAGTACAAGAGGGACAATCATGGAACATCACATCTTGAGAGGTTGAAAAATGGAGTAGATCTGGCCCTACCAAATTAAGATATACTTTCGAGTTGGAAGGTTTGCGCCAGTCATCGAGTGAAAAAACCTTACTTCTCCAAAGAACAGAGAAACACCCAACAAATCAGTATATGCTTTTAATTAGGTTTTAGCATCATTCAATCAAGATTTTTATTTTATTTATTTATGATTCGATCAGTGTTCTAAGTATTTATTTATGTTGTCGAATGTGTAAAGTAGCTTGCATAATTGATATTTTACCTTCAATGCATTAAGTAGTCTGATGGCTTTATTTGTGTAGATTTTATATTCTTTTAACTTTTTTCTTTTGTCTTGGTACTTGTGTGAAACTGGAGTCCACACACCATGTATCGAAAGAATGAAAAGCCAAACCTTTCTTCTTCAAGAAGGGCCGAAAATCATGGAACGTTCTCTCACTTGTTTCGCACTATTTAAGGTAAAAGAAACAAGAAATGGTTCGACCTTTTATGAGCTAGCTAGGTCCACTTCTTGCTAATCTTATACATATCTATCCGCTAACCTTTCTTTCTACATCTTATCAAGAAATGGACCTTTTTAATCCTTTGAATTCTCGGTGCGAAAAATATTAATTAGTACCATGCGACAGCTCCAATAACTTTATCATATGATCGATCATAAAGACACCATCACATGCTCTGTTTCGTGCTATTAATTCACCGACTTCTTTTATTGAAACGATCTTCCTAGATTCTCGCACCAAAAGTAGCATCTCTCATATTCTGCCCTATAGATAACTTTTATATTATATATAAATATTTTCTTTGGGATTTGGACAGAAGAAAGTTTATCTATAGGGAGGTTTCTTTTCGGTCATTGAAAATGAGGAGAGTAGCCCGACAAGCTATGCCCCATCCAGAAGCAGATGACACATCCCAACACCACCACCCACACAACCCACCCACCCACCCCCCGGCGGGTTTTGATCAGGCTGCGGCAGAGCAATGCCCTTTATTATTTATTTGCAAAAAAAAAAAAAAAATAGAAGTGAAAAATAGAATTTTTTTCATTTATTTTTTTCCCCATATTTCTCTTTATTTTTTTAAATATTTGATTTTACTAATTTTTTTCTTACTATATATATATAATTTTCAATTTATTTTCGATATATAAATTGATTTTATTTTTGAATAAAACAAGTTCAAAATTTAAATTAAAAAATATATATTAATCCTCCACAGGAAAATTTCTAGTCACTGTTCTAAGATATATATTATGTCGGTTTAGTTACATTTTTCATTTTTGGCCTACACTACTAATATTCCATTGAATCTTGTTTTATACCAATATGTAACTAAATCCATTCTTCCATTAATGTTGAAAACCGAGCAATAATTTCCATGACTTGGTACACCAAAAAGGTCGAATTTCTGATTTTTATAATTGCATGAGGTATTACAAGATGGGAGCATGATTTATTATTCCACATGATTTGTAAATACTTTTGATTATATTTAATCGAGTTGGATAAAAGCATGCAGATTGCTGCAAAAATTGGATTTTTTGGGATGGATTTGTTTAATGCACATATTTTTCATAATACAACCTTCATTATAGCATGATGAACGATCGAAATGCTACGAAACCAATGTCAAAATTATTAAAATTTATTTTAAAAGATCTAGAAGACTAGAATATCATCCAATTTTCTTGGATAAACCCATCATTTGCATCTTTTGGTTAACCAATTTATCAAAAATAGCTCTTTTATTTTCAATTTATATCGACTGAATATTTGTATTATCGATGTCAATCAATTGAGTACAATTTGTTTAAATTGAAAAAGAAACCATCCAATGGAGGATGATATTAATAGAGATGAAAAAAACATGATGATAACGATCTAAGTAGTGAAGAAGAGTACTCAATTAGCTAATATAAATTTTTAATTTTCTAAAATTATACTCAATTAATGGAAATTAAAAATATATATTTAATTGACCGAATAACATAAGAGTTGTTTTGACGAATTGATGAAAATAAAGACGTGAAAATAGTGAGTTTAGCCAATTTGATTACTAAGCTGGTTTTATGTAAATATATGTCAAGAAAAAAAGGGCTCCTACCCATAATTTTTGTTAGGCCCTTCAAGTCCAGAATGATTTCTTCAAGCCCAGTTGGATTTAAAATAGCCAAATGGGCCTTTGGGCTTTAACAATTCCAGGGTTAGGGGGTTGCAGATTCGTTTTCCCTAACCTTGGAATGTCTTTGCTCCTCGATCTAATTCACAAAGTTGGCAAACACGTCCTTAAATTCTAGAATGCTTTCTTGGAAAGTCCTTCTGTGTGTTGGCTATTCTTCCCTTCGAAGAAACGAGTGAAGGGATTAGTAATGGATGATTTTCCTTATCTCAACATAAATTGATTTTTTTTCTCTTTTTCAAGTTTAATGAACTGGGCTCTTAAAGAGTTCTCCAAAAATAATTTTATTTACGGTACTTATTTTTGGATTTTCTTTTTCAAATTATTGGTTTTTAATTTTTTTTACAAAAAACATGGGTTTGTGTATGATTTCCCTTATCTTAGAAGGAAAATTTTATAATTACGTATTAAAATAAATGAATGGATCATAGGCCCATTGCACTTAATAATTTTTGTATATTTTTGTTTGTAGATTGAGCATTTTGGATTCATATAAACACAATAAATTTAACAAGGCCCAGACAATATATCTCCACACTTTGACTAATATGTTGGCACCTAAGGAAAGTGTTCTATTCCTCCTACAGGTAGATGGTGGGCTGGACAAACGGATGGACCCTATTGATGATTACTGGACCAGGAAGCATAGACCCGGATACAAAATACAAACCCAATATAATACAAATACATAGAAAATTCTATTTCTATTTATTCGATAACTTTTTATAATATGTAAATAATAAATATCGAGATAAAAACAATGAGTTAAATTAAAATAAAATATAAATTATTTTGAATGATACCTAAAATTGAAAAAAAACTAAAATCATATTTATTATTATTATTTTTATATATTTACTGAAGTATTTTTGAAATAGTTTTCGCATTGATTGAAATTAAGTTCGCCATTTTGTGGATTAAACCAGCCCCAGTTAATTTTTAAAATATTCATGTAATAAAGATCATCTGAGGTGCAGGTGCATAAGTTGATTTCAAATATATATATATATGCGCGCGCGTGCGTGTGAAACTCATGTAATGGGAGTAAATTATAAATTAGTCCCTGGTTTTATAAAACAGATAACTTAGTTTCCTTAGTTTCAAAAAAAGTTATTTAGTCTTTTGTCTAGAGTTGACCATCCTTCATTTAATATTAATTTATTCTAAAACATTCTTCTTTTATCCTCAATCTTTCCGTAATATATATATTTATTTTTAATGATAAAAAAACAAATTAGAAAGTAGCATAAAATGGTCAAAAAGGACTAAATGATTATTTTTTAAAACAAGAAGGACTAATGATTTCGTTTCTCAAAACTGAAGGAATTAATTTGTAATTTACTCGAGTGAAGGCGAAGGAGCTGAAATTTCTTCCCGAGTACCGTCAAGCTGCCAAGATAGTTCCGAGTACACGCTTTTCTCCTCGTGGAATTTCTGAAATCAGATCGAAAAGCATAAATTTGTTTTTGAATTTCTTGACAATCTCAGCTCTAATTTTCACACGCTCTGTTTCCTGGAAAATGGACAGAACCTTCTGTAGAGTTACGCCCATGAATTTTCTCTCTATATAATCTTCCTGAAGAATGATTATAGAGCAACAATCATCACCGTCTCATCAAACCGGTACCCAAATTTCAGCTATAAAAAGTACTATAAAAATCTAATTTGCAGAAAGCAATGGCAACACTCTTCTCCAAGTTGCTAACCAGAACTGACATTGATGGTGGCTTAGCTATTCCTGCTCGTTCTCTAGGTCCATTGCCTTTCCAAGAAGGCCATTCCATGAACATGTACGTTCACGATGACAATGAGCAAGAGTGGTTCTTTCCTTGCTCCATTCAGATAAATGAAAATATGGGGCCTTTTCTTTTTTAGGTTGGCTTGAATTTGCTCGTCAAAGAAATGTTAGAGTTGATGATAAGGTCATTATTCAAGAAGAAATCGTCAAAAACCAAGATACGGCAACTTTGATCAGAATCGAAGTGAACAGGAAGCTCAGAGTGTTCGGCGCTGATATTTGGGGTAATGTGAAGAATTGAGGCTTCATCAAAGCCTATAGATAAAGCAAATCGGCCATGACCCGATGCAACATCGGGCCAGCATAAATTGCAAACTGCTAATGCGATTATTTATTATTTATTTTTAATTCAAATAAATCAGCCTGCAAATGAGGTTACCAAAGGGACATGACAGCAGTTAAAACTTGGGATTTTACTGAAACTTTTGGGATATAAATCTTAGAAAGATAGGTTTGTAATTATAGAAGGGGTGTTTCTTCTCTTTATGTAACTGCGATCTTGCAAATCTATATATATATATATTTTAAATAATCATATTTTTATTTTAAATTGTACTTTTTTAATTTGATAAAATATTAAATTTATCAATTCAAATAGCAATTTTTAATGTTTTTTAATTTGTTACAAATTCCAGTTATCAAGTGGCATGAAAACATCACTTTCGCAGTTTTACCCACATTAATATGTAGTGTGAAATATTTTGGCTAAATCTATTATTTACACCTTGTATTTTTACCAATTTGTTGAAAAATTCCTTTGTTATTAGTTCAATCAATTGAGCATATATATATATATATATTTTTTTTCCAGTGAATAGGATTCAATTTTGTCTCAATTGAAAAAACAACTACTCAATAGAAAGGGTGGAATGGATGATAGTATTAATAAAAATCAAATAAAAATTTATAATAACGTACCATGTAATAAAGAAAGTACTTAATTGATTCAGATAAATTTTTAATTTTAAAAAATTTACTTAATTGGCTAAAAACTCATGTGCTCAATTGACTGAATTGAGAATAAAGATGCTTTTTTGACGAATTAGTGAAAATATAGGGTGTAAATAATACTTTTGGCCATTATTTTGATATGAAATTTAATATTATGAGATGCATTTTGGTTTACCATGCTAAAATTTTAATTAAAAAAGAGAAAAATACTATTAATTTAATTAATATAATTATTTGATAAATTATTATCTACATTTCCTATTATTTCAAGCAAATAAAAGTTAAAAATTAATAACTCGATAAAAACTAATTAATCTAATCATCACATATATAAAGAGTTTTATACTAACATGTGAAACAAAGTTTCAAAAACTTAAAAGAATTTTAAACAATTGAAATTGAGAAACAATATTGTATGGTTAGGCTATTCTTTCAATTCTTGTTTAATTCTCAATGCATCATTTCTAATAAAATTGTGGTGAAGGACTAGAATGTATTTTACATAGAAAATCACCATGTGTCACAGCATATTAGATAAAAAAAAAAAAAAAACTAAAAGAATATTTTTATGTAAAAACTATCATGTAGCATAATAGGTGAACACCATTCTTAAAATCACCATGTCTTCTTAAATTCTAATCGTTAAGAATATATTTTTTAAATAATATGCCTTGGCCGTGTTTGAATTATACTAGAAAATTCATAAAGAATTTTTAAAAAATTATTATTTTATCTCTAAAACTTAAAGTATTTAATTTTGACTCTATGATATAATTATACCTATAAAAACATGCATATTATATTAATTATAACTACCAAGTAAAACAATTTCTTTATTAACAAATTACATAACATGCAATTTCTTTAGGGAAAAAAAAACACAACTAAATAATGAGACTAAAATACTTTGAATTATTAATAAATAAATAAATAATGAAAGCATTTTAGTGAATTTTTTCATCCAAGAAAATGTGATTCCCATTATTTGAAAAGGAGATCACGTTTTTTAGTTTATGCAGAAACAGATGCCCAAAACCGTCAAACTGACATTTCTTGACAAATCAAAAAAAAAAATTCTTGACATCTAAAATGTTTTTTGGTAAGGAGAATTGGACGAAACGCCCCCTCGTAAAAGCATTCTGAAACCACCACGGTCTGCAATTTGTCATCTCGTTAAGCCATCCTATACATTAGTTGAGTTAGATTAAAAGACCAGCTAAAGTTGTTTAGCAAGTGGAGAAGATGCACTGATTTCCATTGCTTTTTGGTGTACTGTAGTGTACCAAAACCCATGTACACCATCCAATAAATTCATGCTACATCGTTAACACCAACTTAAGGAACCATGTTGATAAGCAAAGAATTATTGGGCTCGTCTCAAAAATGGTCCAACAGTAAGAGCTCGTGAACACATAATTTAAATCCATCAAGTCCAGTCTAGGCCCATAAATCGCGATATAAGACAACGCCAAGACAGGCAGGCCCAAAGTCCCCAGAGAGCAGCTACGTCCAACAAGGCTAGTTGCCCCCAAGGAAAGCTAGTAATGCTCCTATTCTAAGGCATCCCTACCCTAGAAATGAAGACACAAGTCACCTCCACTGGTCGGAGAGACAATATATTTAATGAAGACTCTTTAATAATTACATTAATCAAATCGTCATCCATCATGTTGAGAACTAACGTAATCACATCTATTAAATAAAATAATAACAAAACATAAACATATATTGATTCACCTATTAATACAAAAAGAAAAAAATTATTCTATTACTTACAAATCACTAAAAAAAAAAACAGATTGTGTATATGTATAATTTTATCTCTTTTGCTAATTAATTTAAAATATCTAAATATTTTCTTAAAAAATCATTTCAGGTCAACTGGTCATTTTCTTATCATTAACTTCATCGTTAAGGAAAAAAAAAAAAACTTATTTTGCAGTTGCACTGCATAAAGACAACATCCATTACTCTCAATAACAATTCAATTATCACCATCGCAGTTGCACTGTATTATAATTTTACTAGATGAATCAATCCGCTACTCATCTCCACGTGTACTAATAATCTAATAAATACATAAATCACATCAACTCTCGATAGCCGAGTTAGCGACATAATCTTTCATGGTCCTTAATCTCTCAAATGGATAGTTGGGTTTTGACTTAATTAAATTAATACTTAAACTTATTGTGATTATGTAAGTTCGCAGTAGAATAATAAATGATACTTCGGGTCCGTTTTGCACTGGCGTTCCGTTCAGCGGTTGAGGTTTTAGGATAAAACTTCAACCATACACGGCTCGCATTAGCCCCCGCTTCAGAATTCTCGAACGGAGAAGCTCCAAACTTTTGCAAATGGGCCGTACATAAAATAATAGTAAATAACCATTACACCCCTTCTTTCTATGTAGTCCATGTCCTTATTTTGTTTATTCCTTTTCTTTTCCAAATCTCCGTTGATTCTTACACCCTATTCATCTTTTCATGCAAAAATTATGTTATAGTGGTAATTTTCCCCTTAAAGTTGTATATGAATATAACATGACACTATAAAATTATTTTATTAATTTAATTTCATAATAGCATCTAAAATCATAAAGAAGCATAATACATACTTCATGTGTATACACAATTACATATCTAATTTTAAATAAAAATATTTTTATAATAATGAATTATTCTATTATTTATATTGCATTATATTTAATTTTTTTCCTTAATTATCACTTATTAAAACAAAATTTGTGTAAAAATTTAAAATAATTTATATCATGTTTTTCTAAACTTTATTGCTAATTGCATAACTAATCGTTTTTTTAACCCAACACTTTTTCTTTAATATAAACACACACTTCTTTACCTTATGAAAAAAAAAAAATTATGTACTTCAAACTGTTATGCAAACTATATGTATTTATTTCATGAGGGTTTTTTTTTTTTTTTTTTGTAATTTATTAATTTCATGATACTTCAGGAAAGTTTTTGGTAATTTACCCTTATTTCTAATATAAAATGATTATTAGTTTTATATTTATACATGAGACATACAATGGTGCTGTTGTTATTGTGGCATCTTGTTCCATCATATCTAATGCTTATCAAATACAAAGCAGTATAGTTGCTGAGTCTAAAATATATTAAACAATAGATGTCTAGTTATTTATTTTTTCATATATATATATAACCAATTCTTAATTACATATTTATATCAGTATAAAAATTCTATTGAAGGTAAAAATCTGTTTTTGGAGAGATTTATATCCGAGAAAGTTTGGAGATATGTTCGGAGGCATGAATCAAATAACTTGTAATCCAATGATAATTGATTTTTGTAAGAGGTCACGAATTCAAATTTTAATATATTAATTTTCCTAAAAACCTTTAACATATGTATTGTGTGCGTGAGTTAAAAAAGAAAGAAAAAAAATATTCACAAGCATGAGAATATATATCAGAGAGTTTGGAGACATTTTCACAGGCATGAGAACTTAAAGGCTTGCTTAGATGAATAATCATCAATTTTTGCTCCAAAATCTCGATATCATTTTCAGCTAGTTGATAACTTTGCGGTATGTGATTTTGATATAGATCGAATTGGAGAAGGAGAGACTAAGCTTTCAAACTTTGAATGAGGTCTGAAATTGTTTATTTTAGTATTGAGTTGTTGTGTGTGGACGGTGGAGACAAACATTTAAAAATGTGAAAGTTAAAAGATAATCCTATAAAAAGAGTATGGTTCATAATGTTGTTGGCATGGAATTAGCCTTTTGACTTGCTACAATAACTTCAGGTCATTGTTATTTTTTCTTTCTATTTATGTAATTTAGTTATAAAAAATAGAATACATTTGACTGAATTTATATTTATTTAAAATCATAGAAGAAAAAATTGATTACTAATATGTTCTAGCTATCATGATCTGGTGTGATGATCATTTAGGTTCTGTAGAGTGGAAGAATGCAATCCATATACATAAAAATGTTATATATATATATATATATTGGTGTAAAATCACTTAATATGATCTATATTGAACAGTTAATATAAAACTATTTTATGATCTCGTCTAATAATTTAAATTTTTAAATTAAAAATAGTTTTTTTCCATCAAGAATGAAGAAATAGTTTTTTTATAAAAAATAAAATAAATATACTCATTTATCCTCATATAATGCTTGAAGTTTTACATATATCTTTAAATTTTAAATTATATCCCATCTATCTCTAATTTTTTTTTTAAATATTTAATCTGTCATTCCAATCAATTTTTTCGAATATAGATAATTTTTTTGGATCAAAATACCCTTTAATAAAATGCAAAAAAAAAAAAAAAATTAAAGTTACATGACTCGCATGTTCTATTTTTGAAGTCTTAAATTTTTTTATTTTTTATTTTTATATTTTAATTAGAAGCATTTTAATCAAAAAATTCTTATGATTGAAAAAATTATTAAAAAAAATAGAATGAACATTTAAAAAAAATTTTAAAAACAGATAAAATGTAATTGAAAGTTTAAAGACATCTAAAAATTTTAGAGTATTGTATAAAAACATATGTAAATATTTACTCTAAAAACTGTCCTTGTCTGTTATGAATATTTAATTGATGAAGTCAGTACTTCTTCTGTCCCCTTGCATTCATGGAAACTTTGAAAACTTAGCTGTCTCCTCTCTCAGGACAGAAAGATATAAATCAAAATTAACAAATGTTGGGAAAAAAGGCTGAACAAAGGAGACAATATTAAGGATTGTTGTCTTGTTATTTCATACGTGGGGCAGACCATTTAATTCTATAAAAATGATATATATATATATATATATATATATATATATATATATATATATATATATATATATATATCAATTAAGATATAAATTCATGACGTTCATATATAGGGATAATCACACTTCTCTATTTTACAAGTTGTGAAGTAAGCACAACTACACACACCATTCTCATTCTCTTCTATCCTAAATTACAAAAAATAAAAAGACAATAATATTCCCCAAAAAAAAAAAAAAAAACAAAACAAAACAGCAAGCCCAGTCTTCTTTTCATTACTTCACAAGGCGATAGCCTATTAAATTGCATAGCTCCCTAGCTAGCTCGTCAGATGTTTTTCTTCACAGCCCTGCTAAAAAAGAACAAAAAGCTGGTTAAAAAAAAATGCATCTTTTGAGTCACCGAACTATACTTTTAATTGCTTTGGTAAAGAAAAAAATTAAAAAATTGCAATAAAATGTTCATGGGTTAATTTAAAACGATCGAGGTTCCAATTTTTTATTCGATGATTGAGCACAAGTTTAACACTTTTTTTTTTTTTTTTGAGCACATGTCACTTTATAACAAAATTAAGATTGATCTAATTGTACTATTAGTAAAGGATCAATTGACTGAATTAATAAAAAAAATTATTTGTAAACAATACCTTACACCCTTCCTTCTATATTTCTTCCAAATAGCTTGATCTCTTTAATCACTTCTATTTTGTACTCTGTCCCAATTTCTGGGTCATTCTCCATGAGAAAAACTATCTTATTGCCAGGCTTCAAGGCCTTTTCTCGAACAAATTTGCCCCATCCCCTACAGATGACGGGCTTGAAGTGATTGCCTTTGGTTCGAACTGAAAAACCAAAGGATTGCACTTCTCCACTTAGATCCTTAACTAATATATCTAATTTACTTTTACCTTCAAAACGAGAATACAGATTTTTCATAAACCATTTACTTGGTACTGAAAATCTTACCTTTACGTCAGTTTCAGATGCTATCTTCTTGAAATTTGCCATTATTAATTGTTGTCAACTTATAAACAGGGTTTTTCTTGGTAAATCAGAAAGAGTATAGCATTTAAAGAATGGAAATTTTTTAGGGTAGATATAATTATATAGCAGAAAGAAAGCAAAGAATCAAACCACGAACTCGATCGAATAAAGGCTTCCTTGAACTAGCTAGGGTTGGTAATATATATAGCTGGAACGGCTGGACTTTTTCTTTGTACAATAGAATAGATAATGTTTGCTTATTTCACTATGGGATTTGTGGATCAAAGGGCGGTGGAGAAAAATGCCAAGATTGAAAGATTGACCCAAGCAAATTGCATTACAAAAGCTATAAAATATTTGATTAATTGTGATGCTCAAGTGTTTGTTTCAAAGTTGCCGTTCTTGATTAGTACGTAGCGTAGATAACTCAAATCGTTAAAACTGTATTTTAACTCTCTTAAAGTTTTCCTTTTATTCAAAGAAAATATTTCCTCTAAAAAATGTATATTTCTTCATTTAAAAAATTATAGACCGAAAGGAACAAAATAGCAAAAAAAAAAAAAAAAAGATTTATGATGGTAAATAGCCCTTTAGTCTTTTATTTTTCAATAGGATATATATATATATATCACATTGGAGCATGTTAAATAATATTTCTTTCAATATATATATATGGGGTCCAATCTCACGTTTGATCATGATGTTTGAGTTAGAAATCGCACACACGGCACACCGAATGAAAAAAATATTATTCTCTTTAATCATTGTAGAAAAAAGAAATCTATATATTTTTTTAAAAAAAGTATACATGGCAGCGCTGTTTTTGCAGTAGAAAAAAAGACAAGAAACGCATTTTCATAATTCTTTTTCGTTTCTTTCATTTAATTAATACTCTTCACAAATAGTATATTGTTAAAGTATCTCACCATAACTATTTTAGATATTTTTCTTTCCACGCAAGACACTTTTCTTACGTATATTTGCTCACGTATACTTTTTTTGCTGCAAGCAGACGGCAGCCAAAAAAATGTTCTCTCTCCCCTCCAAATTTCACATGATTTAATTGGAGGAAAACATGGACTTCTGATGGACCTCACGGCACCCAAACGTGGTCTCCCATTTGACAATGCAACCCCATAAGAGAGATAGAGAGGAAAAAAAAAAAAGAAAAGAAAAACCATAAATATTCCTTATTTATGATCTTATAATCACTTACTTGCAAACCTCGTTTGTTCTCATTTTCCATCTCTCATGAAAAACCCTTTCGGCTCTGCTTGGAAAATTAGAGTTTAGTGATTTTTGTAATTCTTATTTATTGAAATTCCATGTGGTAAAACAAAAGAATTATAAGTCTGTAAAACATTGGAGTAGATAGAAACCTTCTAGGACTAGAATGTGGCCGTTCCTTATGATATGTACTAACTGGAGAACCAACGAGTAACCTTAGATCGTCTCCTTGTCTGAATAGAAGGTCAAATTATGACCTAGAATAGCAAATTACAACAGCAAAGAAGAAGCTTTTTTGTAGAGAGAAACAGAGAAAATTAAGAGACTAAAAGTGTGTAGAGACAAGAGAGAATGAGCTCTCCAATCATGTAAAAAAAAATGGCTTCCAATTGCAATTATATAATATAAAACTTTCAATCTAACGGCCGAAATGATTTTTCAACAATCATCGAAACGGTTTTAGAGAGTATCATATGCGACCGAATGTTAATGAACGTAAAATTTTTTTTATCATTTTTTATTGATTTAGATATGATTCTACTTTGATTCAATTTTTTGTTTAAATTTTCTATCTTTTTATTTCTCTTTATTTCTTGTGTCTATCTTTATCTTGAAAAATGAATTCATGAAATAACTATGATAGATGTATAGTAATTATTCTTTTAAGTATTATAAAATTTTTGCATTGACTTGTATTAATAACAAGTGAATTTTACCTTATTAAACAAATAAATATTATCATGTGAAAGTTTGAAACACCTTAACTAAACACACGTGCATACACATTCACACACATACACACACACAACACTCGGTAGGTGAGAAATTTGGTTATCAATATTCGACTAAAATTTATTATTCAACATCAAAATAAAAATATTTATAATAAAAAAAACTTAAAAAACGTATAAAGGTATATAAAGTTAAATTATGACAAAATATTCGTAAGATCATTTTTAATATTTTCGATCTATGTTGCAATTGTGTGGATTCTTAGATGCAACAACGCACACAACATTTCTATTTACTTTTAGAAGAATATTTAGGACGGGTATGTCACTTTTCAACCGAAGGAATAATATTTTCGATCTATGTTGAATTGTGTAGAAAAAATGATGAATTTATCTGTTCATTGTCAAAGAATAACCCAAAAATCATGTTTGATGTGTTTAGAATATGTATATTTTGGTTATGGAAAATATCTAATGTTAGTTGAGAATAAGAAAAGTGAGTAACTTATATACAAGAATTGACCCATGACTCAATAATTTAGGTTTTTTTGGGGTTAAAGTTGGTGTCTTTTTATGTAAATGAGCTCCCACATGATTAGGTTTACAGATAGGCCCTCAAACTTATTGATGTAGATCTCTTCTCAACAAATGGGCATGGAACTTATGGTTGGGCTGTGATAAGTGGTAAGATAGGTGTTTGTAAAGCCAATAACAACCATTGACTAGAGTGAAGATCTAGTTGGATTCTTAATTGAAAAATAATACATATAATTAATAAAATAATGAGAAATGATTTTTGTTTGATTTACGAGCAAAAAGTAAGCATAAGTTTTTAGATGAATAATCTCTTAAAAAATTAACGAGTTATAAATGATATTGTAATGCTCGAGTTGTAATTATTATAGTCAAGATGTTGAAAGTGATTATTTTAGAGCAAAAAACAATGAGTATATAAAGCAACGAAAGCAAAATTGTTGGATGGTTTTGATGAAATGTGCTTGAAGGGATGACAAAATTTATAGATCTTAATAATCTAAAAACTAATAGAAGCTACAACAAAAATCATTTTTAGATGTTCATAAACATGCTTCTAAAGTTTATTTTTATGCTTTTAAAAGTCATTTAAAATATATTAAAATTCAAAGAAAAACTATATTTTTTAAAAAAATTAAAATTATGTTTGAAAATGAATTAAAGTTTTGTTATTATTTATGAAAAAATTTAACTTAAAATTCTAAAATTAAAAATTTTAAGGTGGATTTCGATCAACAGACAAAGTTTAATTAATAAAATAAAACCAAAGAAAACGGAGGAATAACATTTATCCAGAATTAATAGTTTAAGGATATAATTGACTAAATTCATAGTATAAGCCTCAATGTCCACAAACTCAGTTTAGGGACGATAACTGCAATTAAACCGAAGTTAAAATTGAAATTGAAACGGGAAATAATCAGAGACAAGGAGAAACCCGAGATAAAGAGAAAAAATGGCTGCTTCTGCTTCTGCTTCACTAACCTCGTTGGCGACTGAAGAGGAGCTAACACTGACAGTCAAATGGAGCGGAAAGGAGTACACTGTCCGAGTCTGCGGCGACGAATCCGTAGCCGAGTTGAAGCGCCGTATCTGCGAACTCACCAACGTTTTGCCAAAGAGACAAAAGCTTCTTTACCCCAAAATCGGTAACAAGCTCTCCGATGACTCCGTTTTGCTCTCTGAATTACCCCTCAAATCCTCTCTCAAGATGACCATGATTGGGTAACTCTCTCTCTCTCTCTCTGCGAATGAAAGACTAAACAAGCGTTAGTTTCTTTTGTGATCTATGTTTGTGTTTTTTTGATGGGTTCTTGTTGATGCTGTTCTTTTTGTTGATCAATGGGTTTATTTTTAAAATGGAGTAGTTTCTGTAAATTCAGAATTTCCTACGGAATAGACAACATGTGTGCGTCTGCATTTGTCTGTTGTGCGTAGAAAGAAGTAAACTTTGTCTTGAGGGGCTTATGTTTCATAGCTCAAGAACTAATTATGAAGGGTTAGGGCAAGCAGACCCCCTGGTCCCGGTCCCGGTTCCTTTACATGTAAAAAATATTGATCTTATCAATGGTGAAAATTCTTTGTGCTCTCTCCCTTTGTCAAAAGAGCTTTTCCTGGATCCTTCCCTGAAGGTTAGGGCTTAATTTGCAAGAAAAAATAGATTAAAAAAGAAAAAAAAAAACTTCTGAGGAAGAGCTGAATATAGATAAGAAATTGGTGAGGAAATAGATGACCAGGGCTTTTTGATTGAGGAAAATTTGATAGGTTCCTAGGAGGTATTCACGAGGATTTTTCAATTTTTGCAAGGTAAACCGAAATACTTACTAGCATCCTTATGCATTGCACTAAAAGAAGTTGCTCTATGGTATCGTGTCACGAACAAAGCTCTGGAGGTAGGATGACAAGTTCTTTTTCAAAATAAAGCACCAGAGTATATGAATTACTTTCTAAAATGGCCTGATTCTCGCAATATTGTGTAGACATTAAGCTTCTGTGGATACAGATGTTCCCAATCCAAGTCAAGAAACCAGTAATAGGATTAATTTAATTAATTCCACTCCTTGTCGCATGCTTTAATGTTTCTGAAACACGATTGCTGTGAGGCTCTAGGCCTGCTGAAGAGTTGAACATTTAAAGCTTTTCCTTCTCCTTTCCCTTTCCTTTTCTTTTATCATACTTTCTCGGTACTTGAGCCTTCTTCAATTTTAAGGTCTTTCTTACTGAATTCATAACTCATTGGCAACATGCAATGGTATTATAGGAATCTTTTTTTTTTTACTGATTTATTCTGCATAGCGCATAGCAGTCATTTAAACCCAATATTAGACTATTGACATAAGCAGTGGCAGCATAAGTGTGCTTATCTTCTGTGATACAGAATATGCAGAATGCAACTATGTTAACTGCTATGAATCAGCAAGTAGAGTGTAAGCTGTATAGATTTTAGTTCATTTTCATATCTTCAGCATTTAGTCCTGGCAACTTTTTTTAAAAAATTGGTGGAATCAGAATGCATAAAATAAATTGTACATTACTACATTGGAATGACATTTCATTCTTCTTAGTGTGCTATAGGTTGAATTTGCCTGACATAAAGAACTTGCTATTGTTAAAAAAATAAATTCATCATTGTAATGACAAGGAGTCAGTCTGCTACGTCAACGTTAACTTTAATTTATTACATTGAGATGTCAATCATAAGAGATTATTACTCTTTTAATTTTAATCAGATTTGAAATGGATATTAAATTCCACTACAGAACTATTGAAGATGATATAATCGTGGATCAAGTGGACTCTCCAGAGATTGTTGATGATTTTGAACTTGGGCAAGATGAAGCTGTTGACATTAAAGATAAGGAAGTCAATAAGCAGAAACTGAGGAGGCGTATAGATCAATTCAAGGTCAGCTTTAAAAGTTTCTTAATTAAGTGAATTGTAGTGGGGATATAATATCTATGTTCATTTATCTTTTAATTTTGGACACTAAACACTCATATAAGTGTATGCTTCATAAGAGATTTAAACATTCCCATGGTATTCGTCCAAGAAACATGGTGTCAAAACATTACTGCATTTGTCATTCACCTTATCCTAGAGCTTGATGAATCTCCTACTAATTTTGTTTCATGCTTTGTTGTGTGCTTGCTTTCTCCTAAAGCATGCCTATCATTCTCAAGCTAGCCTGTGCCAGTATATAGATTGACAGTAAGGTGCCCCTCGATTTTAGTGATATAAGATGCCGAATGCACCGTGATAGATTTTCTGAACCTCCTTATGGTGTAAAGCTGAAGGGGCTTGCAGTGGAGCTTCTCTATTGTATTTTCAACACAACTGCCTTTTTGTATTAATCTCTTTGCCCCTTAATGGTGGTGTTTGTCCTCCTATTTTTATAGGTTTTGTTATGATAAATATCTCCAAATGTGTGATCCGATTTTTCAGATGAAATAAATGGTAAAAGCACAGGACCACGTATGGAATCAATATATATGGAGTTTCTACTAGCTTTCCAATATACTACCACAGCTAAATAGCCAATTCTTCTTTGTTACCAATATTAAAGCAGTACTTCCTGTCTTTCTGCTGCCAATTTTATTGCAGAATTGAAAACTTTCTTTGTTTTATATGTTGCAGCCTTCCTTTTTGTCATGATTAATCTCTTCATCTTATATCTGAGAATCATGTGTATCTAAAAGCTTATTGTCAAGGTTATATGCTGTTGGTTTTTAATTTATAAAAGCTGGTTTCAAGTGCCTGTAGAAGTTTTATGAAAACTCTTCCATGGCACTACCACTTTGTCTTTAGTCAGCGGGCCGCAAAATTTGATATGAATATTTATGATTCAAAACAAGAAATTTAATTAATATCTTGATTGTATGTGTTTCAGTCGGCAGACAATTTAATCAAATTATCTTTGCTTTTTACATTATTCTCATGCCATTCAGTTTTTGGGAGAGGAACAAAATATGGAATTTTATGGATTGGAAGTTTAAAGTGTGACTAAGTGGTACATGCACATGTGCATGTGTCTCCAGGGATGGGGGGTTCTTAAGCAAATTTTGTGAAGGTTATTTGTTTTATTTTGTGTCTTTATTTTGATGGAAGAATGGTGTCTGATAATTGGAGTGCACTTAATGTTGAGGTGAAATTTTCATCTAGCTGCTGCTTGAGTGGTGCCTGGTGCTTTGTGTATTTAGTAGCAAGCTGTTATTTACTCCATACTTTTTCACCATTAGTTTTCTTCTCACGGAAGATTATATGCAATGCCTATTATGTACCTAAAAAACCAGGACGCATGAGGTTTCTTGTCTACTAAATATGGCACAACACTTCTATACTGACATTAACTTGGATGCACGATGTGATGCTTCTTTTCTGCACAAAGCTTTTGAGTAATGCCCATGTTCATTTTTTTTTCTCATTTGTAGATTGAACTTAAAAATCCATGTCGTCCTGGAAAGAAACTGCTTGTTCTGGATATTGACTATACGCTGTTTGATCACCGATCCACAGCAGAGAATCCACTCGAACTCATGCGGCCATGTAAGTAGTTAGGTTGTGTTGTAGCAAGTTTTTGTAACAATTACTTTCTAATGCTGTTATTTCCTGCAGATCTTCATGAGTTTCTCACTGCCGTTTATGCAGAATATGACATAATGATATGGTCTGCAACCAGGTCAGATCCTCATTTTACTTTGATTTTTTTTTTTTTAATTTCATTGTGCTGGCGTTCTGCTTATCCTTCACTTCCCAACCTCCCAAAAAATAAAGTGATGCACAATTAGTTGATGAACACATGAACAAAACACTCAAGAGAACCAATTATGTGAAAAACTCAATTTATGTTATCAACCAATTATCATAACACAACTTATTGTCTGGGTAGAGTGCATATTTATTGACACCAAACCAAATAGAAATAGGAAATGTAAATCCTATTAGAGAGATTAAAACATCCCTATAGAAATAGGAGAACCTAGCAAATAAGAAATAAAGTAGATTCTTATTTTAACTATTATACAGTGAATATTAATATTCCTAGATAATACTGAAAATTTTAAATAATTATACAACATAAAATTCCAAAAAAAAAATGAAATATTAATTTCCATTGTTGTCTTTCTTCATTTCCCATCATTAACTATCCCTCTTTTCTGCAGCATGAAGTGGGTTGAATTGAAGATGGGACAACTGGGGGTCCTCAACAATTCTAACTACAAAATCACAGCTCTTCTAGACCACCTAGCAATGATTACAGTTCAATCAGACTCTCGAGGGATCTTTGACTGCAAGCCACTTGGATTGATTTGGGCTAAATTCCCAGAGGTGCAATTTTAAGATGCATGTGTTAGTTTCCTTCGTTTATGTTTTGCCTAATAATCCTGTTCCAGTGCTGCAAAATGTTGAATTGCACATGTTTTGATCTATTTTAATGCCAAATAGTCCAACTGTCCAAGCACCAGTAGTTTACATCTTGCTTTCTGTTGCTTTTCAGTTTTACAGTTCAAAAAACACTATAATGTTTGACGATCTAAGGAGAAATTTCGTGATGAACCCACAAAATGGTTTGGTAATCAAGCCATTCAGGAAGGCTCATGCAAACCGAGATAATGATCAGGAGCTTGTGAAGCTCACACAATACTTGCTCGCCATAGCAGATCTTGATGATTTAAGCGTCCTGGATCATAAAAACTGGGAATTCTTTGCTGAGGACAATACTAAAAGGCGTAGGCGTACTTGAGTCACATTAACAAATTTTGAACCTCAAAGTTTGCTGCTTATATCTTCCTTTTGAGGTATGCAGTTTATGTTCCTTTTGTAATCACTTATCTTCTCTGTCGAACCTCACCTGTTATTGCCACCACAACATTATCTATAATATTTACAGAAACTCACTAGGAAGGGGGAAAGGACGATGAACCTTTCTAAAAATGCAAATTTTTACTACAGCTTCGTATTTCTTTTGGGGAAATTGAAAATATGGTGGGAAATTAATGGCTAACTATTGATCATAAATAGCCACCCAAGTTTCTCATTGCAGATCTATGGCAATTATATGAAACATTGATCTTTATGGGTGTCAAACCATGACTTTTCTTCAAATGAAGCTATTTTCAAATGGTAATCATCTGCATAGATGTGATTATGTGTGCAGGATGTATTGTAAATGCATTAGTATTTGACATGGTATTCTTTGCTATTATTTTCAAAATCTGTTCTATTTCTTCCTCTTTCCTTTTTTGTACTGTAACCTGCATAGCATAATCAAGCAAAGCATGCTTGTTTGCTTTTGTTTTCCTTCTTTATCATTTGTCCTTTCTTTTTTTTTTTTTAAAATACAAATCTCATTGATTCTGTTCGATTGTGCCCAAAGTTCAGACCTGCACTATGAAAATCAGATTATTTTGTTTTAAGAACTATCTGATGTAAGTCTTGATATTAGATGTTTTAAATATACTTCTAAAACCAGTGACTACATTTAACCAACAAAAGCAGTTCAGAACACCAGTCTAAATGAGAGTTGCCAATGAAAACAACTTCCATTGCCATATCTGCACAGCTTTTCAAGCTGCCACCAGATGAAAGGTGCAGTGCAAGTGGATGGATATAAAAAGGATGGAGATGAAAAGGGTAAAGGTTAACAGGCTGTTGGATTAGAAGTGCTTGGGAGGATGACTAAGTGAAGGTTAACTGGCTGTTGAGTTAGAAGAGCTTGGGAGGATATCGATTGGTATAGTTGGAATTAATTCTTGTTCTGACGATAGGGATTTGTACATGAGCTAAGAATAAAGCACCGTTGTACTTTGGTGTCTATCTAGCTGATAACTTTATTAAAAATTGTTACAATCCCATTTGAAAACGATCCTGTTTCAAACTAGAATGCATTGCTGCCAAGTCCCAGTCATTTCTGAAACAAGAGATCAAGGAATTTTTTAAAAGTGATTAGTGCTATAAATGATTCAATTATTATAGCATGGTGTGAAGATATTTTAAAAGTTGTCAACATGGTAGAGCGTATGGAGATTATTATTACTCTAATAATGGCAACAAATTTGGTGGATTGAGTTCTGCAGACATTGATGAAGTGAATGTCATTCATTCAACCATGTAGATGATGGACGACGTTTGATTCATCAAGTTCATTCAGAGAGGCTTGGGGGGAGGGGGGTGGTCGTGGGGGTGGGGGTGGGATGGGGGGATGATGATAGAACTGCTAAATGGATCCGTCTTATGGTGTAGCATATTCAGTGCGAAGTTATTGGGGTCATTTGGCAACATTGTACACAAAAACCGAAAAAAGTACTAACTGGAATTTAAAATTTTTAAAGTTCTCAATTATACAGTTGTTTGTTCTGATATACCCTTGTAATTTCTAATGAGATCTTCCATTTCAGGTATGCAAAGGTTGGACTGGATCGGATATAGAGCTAATGGCCAGCCTGTCTGCGATCCTTTCTTTATTCTATAAATGACAACAATTGAAACATTCTTGGGGGCTGCCAGGAATTGTTTGAGACAGTTTTAGAATTCCATGACTTATTATATCGAAACTCTCCAGGTAGTCCTGAGACTTCCTTTTTATTAGATTGGTACTTCAGTTAAGGGTAGTGCTGATGTGATTTCTCAACTTGGGTGCCAATGGCTTGGGTTTGTTCTTGATGTTACCCTGTGATGCTTGTATGGTAGTTAGTAATTGAGTAGTTCTTGTGTGATGGAAATATGAGTAGATAACTGTGCATGTGTTTGTACGTGGTGGGTTCTTGCAAAAAAAAGCCAAATTTACAGAGTAGGAGGATCTGCAGTATTTTCTTGATTTTTATTTCTGTATTTTATTTGATTTTCGTTTTCTTTCCTTCCCAGATAACTTGTTTCCTTTCATTCAAAAGAAGCTAAGATATATATACCAGAGTTTGCTATATATATCCAAAACAATTCCTAGGAGCGTCCTCTGTGTAAATACATTTATCAACCATTAACCTAACCTAGTTGACCATCTCATGAGCAGCTCTTTTGTCAGCTCTGCTAACATGATTCAGTAGACTCGATTAGAAGAACCGGTGTGGCCTCCCTTATTTTGAACGTTATTGGCAGCGTAAAAGTTGAACTTCACTGTCCGCCCAGACCAGACGGTTTGGTCCATTTCGGATGAGCAGGAAGGGTCATTGCCAGCAACCTTATGCTTGCTTTAAGTAGCTCGATAGAGATGATCAGGAAGGACCATTTTCCTAATATTGGCATTAACCTTGTTCTTTAAATAGCTGTATTGAGTGTTGATTGCCTCTTTTAACGATCCTTTTCACATAGTTCACTGTTCAGACAATTTGACTCTTCACCAACTATTGATATGGATGGAGTGATAGTGATTGCCACACTAAATGCGTTCATTGTGGTTGCTTACATAATTAATGAAGATGCATGATATAATGGGATTAATTATTATTTCATCCGTGACATTTTTTTGACGTGACATCTTTATTCTTTTATTTATTCATTTTATCTTTTTATTCAAGATATATTTTTTAATATAACCTGTTCGATAGAATTTCTGTCAATTTTTCAATAACAAGAGATATGCGTATTATCACGTCATATAAAAGTGACAGGAGTTAAAATTTTTTTTTAAAAAAAGATAATAATATAATGAAACAAATTTTTTTTTTTGAATTATATCAAAATTCATTGAACAGTTAATTCTTTTGGAGTGGAATTAGCAGCACCCATAACAAAATTGTGCAGATTCCTTCTTTTTCCATTTTTTTTTTTTGAAAACGGTGAAAATTCTTAAAAGCAAGTACATCGGGATGTAACGGGTGAGCTTTGAATGCATGATCCTTTCAAATCACAGTGCATGTACAGCCTAGCAAACCCTAAATTTAGCAATATCCAAGTATCCTCTCGCTCAGCATTAATTACTATAATTTCATTTCTTTCCTTAATTTACTTATTTTTTATCGAGAGATTAATTGAGTAAAACATTTTTTTCTTCCAAAAAAAAAAAAGTGTAGTAAAAAAACAAAACCTAGCAACTTATACACAAGTTAATTAAAACTACATTTCCATTCCTTTCTCTCAAACACACACACTCCTGTAAAGAAATTAACTACATTTTGTGTGTTCTTGTGGAAAAAGAAAGGAAAAAAAAGGGTATTGTTTCTTTGATATGTGAGAGACATATTGGCGTTTCATAGGAAATATATAAAGAAGGAGCCGATTTTCTTGAAGGTTTCAAGCCCTTTTTGTTTCTTTTCTTCTTTTTTAATTGAGTAAAGATTAATTAGTATGATCTTGATTTTGATCTTCTTCCTCTCTCTCATAGCCTCTATCTCACCTTCTTGTAAGTACCCTGTTCTTTACCAACATACATTTTTTTTAAAATCATTTTGTGGAATTTCGGTAATTGTGAACTGAAATGTAATGAATTTCAAACGATTTCTGCAGATGGGTTTGATCCACTAGATCCTTTTGGCAACATAACCATCAAATGGGATCTTATTCTTGCAGGTTCCGGTACAAATAATGTAAGCTGTGGTTAATTATGTTTCATTATTTTCTACAACAATTTTTTCTCTTCTTTTTGCTCTTAATTAACCCGTTATTCCCTTGTGTTAATCTTTCTCGTGAGGGATTAGATGCATTCGGGTTTGCCAGTGTATAAGGTTTTTTTTTTTTTTTTCCTTTCCATTTTTGGATATAATAAGGAGAAGAGAGAGTTTAATTTTTTTTTTCATAATTTTCAATCAATTGAAAAGTTCCTTGAATCTTGAACTATCCAGGAAAAAAAACTGTTCTTGTTTCCGTCATCCTGGCGATTTTCTTGCAGGGTAGAAAAAAACTGATTTTTAGAAAAAGCAGGAAACCCTATTCTTTTCTTGTTTTTCAACTAACATCATCGTACGTGTGATAATCTGAAACCTGATCAGAGAGAATTGCTGTGCTGACCTGAGTCTAGTACTCCTGTCAGTGCATGAAAATGTCTGCTTCTATGTTGGTCCGAAACTGGTGGGGTCGACAGTAATCTTACTTTTTCTAGTGCTCTTTTGGCCAACTAATGGGGACCACGTCCTTACCCAAAAGGACAGTTCTGTCTTAGGATAAAAACAAAACAGTGTTCTATTGATTTGTTTATATATTAACAAACTAGTCCATCTGACCCAATCGATAAAAAACAAAAAATATGTTTGATTGAACGACTGCGTTTAAATTTTTATTGAAACAATTTCAAAACCTATAATAATTTTTTGGAAACAACAAAAAGAGGTTTTTGTTTTTGTTTTATTTTGTTTTTTAATTTAAAAACATTATATTACTAATATTATTTATATCATTTTTACGTCACAATAATTATTATCGTCATAGTACCATCATGGTTATTATGTTCATCATAATAATTATTATTATTATTAATTTTTATCTTTTCTTCGTTACTCTCATTTCTTTCAACATTATCGCTATTATTATCATAATTATTTTCATAATATTTACAAACATATTAACATTACTTATTTATTTATTTATTACAGTTATCATACTATTGTGATAGCTTTTTATGGCACTCACTACGAACAAAACAATTTAACAAATCATTACTGTTAGTATCCTATCAACCCTTATTTCGTTGCCATGTAATATTGTTAATTTTTATATTTTATATTAATAAAGTATTATTATTTTTATTTAAATAAAGTATGTATAAGAATTTTTTATGTCTATATTAAAAAATAAAGAATAATTTTTATTTATTTTTCTTTTTTTATTAGTCGGTACCAAATGGATCCTAAACAATTAATTATACTTTGCTCTCGTTTTCTCTTGCAACAGGATCCCACAACGTTGTGTACTAGGTTCTAACACACAATTTTCAGTTAATCAGTCATAAACTGCTACTGAATACATAGATCCTAACATCATAATATGCTTCTACACTTTTGCTATCTTTAAATGCCTATCCTTGAAAATTTATAAAATCATATGCAAGATGGTCTTTAACTTTTGTTCGTTCAATGTTTTTACCCTTTAAGCTGAGGATATCAATTTATAACTTCCAACAATATCGCCATGTGGATCCACCTGGCTGGAAATTGAATTGGGCATGGAAAGGCGAAGAGGTGATCTGGTCAATGCAGGGAGCTGAGGCCACTGAGCAAGGAAACTGCTCTGCATTCCAGTCAGCAGTAAACCCTCCTCATTGCTGTGAGAAGAAGCCAGTCATCGTTGACCTTTTGCCTGGAGCCAAATATAACATGCAATCCCAAAATTGTTGCAAGGGAGGTGTGCTTACATCCATCAAGCAAGACCCTTCTAAGTATGGTGCTACTTTTGAGATGACTGTTGGAGGTTCTGTCAGCTATTCCGAATTTAAGATGCCAGAAAATTTCTCTCTTGGAGTTCCTGGCTATAGTTGTGGACAGGCAATTGATTCGGTACCCACCAAGTACACAACAGATGGAGGCCGAAGATGGACACAAGCTCTTAGTAATCCCTTCCAGAAATTTAATTTCTACTTCTCCATAACTATACGTTGATCTTCATCTCTCTTTTCTAACGTTGCTTGTGCTGTTTTTTCTTGAAGGTACATGGACTGTGACCTGCATGTACTCCCAGAGTTTAGCATCACCAACACCAAGATGTTGTGTTTCCTTGTCTGCTTTCTACAATGACACTATTGTCACTTGCCCCAGATGCAGCTGCGGCTGCCAAGGACTACCTGGAGCACGATGTGTAAAGTAAAACTTCTTAATTTTATTACTATTTTTTTTGTTCACCAAGTAATGTATGTAGGGCTTTCTTGGTAACATACTATCTTAAATTTTTCTTAAGGTATAGAACTTTTCGAGTACAATTTTTCTAATCATTAATACTATGCTACAATTTTGTTCTTGTTATCTTAAATTTTTCTTAAGATTTGGTGAGACGCCGTCATTGCTGGAACGAAATCGAGATCCAAATCAAATTCAGGAACCTGTGGTAAGGTGTTCAGATCATATGTGCCCAATAAGGGTGCATTGGCATGTGAAAGAAAATTACAAACTATACTGGCGGGTTAAATTGACAGTGACAAATCTGAACATCATTCAAAATTATTCAGCATGGAACTTGGTGGTCCAACATCCGAACCTGCAAAGATTGACACAAGTTTTCAGCTTCAACTATGAACCCCTCAATCAATACGGATATATCAGTAAGTTGTTGCATCAAGCTAGCCTCTGTCAGATCATTGTTTACAAGGGACTTCATGACTTAACAGATGATATTGTTTCTTCTAATTATCATTACATCATTAAATATTGTTTCTTCTAAATATTTTGACATTAATCACTATACAGATGATACTGGGATGTTTTGGGGGATTCAGTATTTCAATGACATGTTACTCCAAGAAGGCAAGAGTGGGAATGCACAGACTGAACTTTTACTACAAAAAGATCCTGGGAGTTTTACTTTCAGAGAAGGTTGGGGTTTCCCTAGAAAGATTCAATTTAATGGTGATGAATGTGTCATGCCTCCACCGGATGAATATCCCCGGCTGCCCAACAAGGGGCATAGCACCTCCCCTACTCTTTTTATACTTCTTTTCTCATTGTTGCTCACAGCTATGTTCTAAAATTGTCTCCTCATTAGGGTTTTTTTTTTTAATGTATCTGTACTGCCATTTCTTAGTGTGTTCAAAAAACATTAAAGTTGTTTTGAGATTGTGTATTACTAGTGTCTGTATGTACTAAACTAAAAATAGGTCAAATCACAGTCTTATAGGTAATTTTTTTGCTTAAGAAATATCAAATTAAATGTTGTTTGGATTGTTTCATTGATGAAATGAATTCTATCATTTTACCATATATTGCCTCTAAAATTAAACAAAATTCACTCAAATTTCTTTTGAAAATGTAGTGTTTCTATAAACAGGTTTAGTTCTTGATCAGTTCTTTTGAAATTAGTACTTCTCCTTTCATACATATATTTTGATCAGGAAGTCTAATTAACCCAATTAATATAGTACTGGAATCCTTTCTTCTTCTCTTTTTTTTTCCTTGATAATGATCCGTTTTCGAGCATGATCTAGACTGTAAGAGGGACAAATATATTCATTATTGCTGAAATGGCATGATATAATTGGTCAAGTCAAACCGATAACATCCATATAAAAATTCTTGGCCAATAAAAACCTAGTCCCCAACAAACAGAGTAACGTTCTGTAAACAGAGTAACGTTTTGTAAAGTCTTCGTCAACGATTGATTCCTTTTCATTAAAAAAAAAAAAAAGGCCTCGCCCACGATTCCTCACAACCACAGCTAACCAATCCTCAATATGCATCTTATCGTCCAGTTCAGACATACCCATCAGAAACTTGAATATTTCCGCCGGTAGTACTGATGAATGTCGTTCTGATTTTGGTAGGTCGGAAAGGATCTTGTCATGAAACGATGGGTATGTGAATATGTTTTGATTTTGTAAGCGAGATCCTTCTAAGTATGGTGCTATTTTTGAGATGACTGTTGGAGGTTCTGTCAAATATTCCGAATTTCAGATGCCAGAAAATTTCTCACTTGGAGTTCCTGGCTATAGTTGTGGACAGGCAATTGATGCGATTCCCACCAAGTACACAACAGATGGAGACCAAGGTGGACACAAGCTCTTAGTAATCACTTTCAGAAATTTAATTTCTACTTCTCCATAACTATATGTTGATCTTCATCTCTCTTTTCTAACGTTGCTTGTGCTGTTTTTCCTTGAAGGTACATGGACTGTGGCCTGCATGTACTCCCAGAGTTTAGCATCACCAACACCAAGATGTTGTGTTTCCTTGTCTGCTTTCTACAATGACACTATTGTCACTTGCCCCAGATGCAGCTGCGGCTGCCAAGGACAACCTGGAGCGCGACGTGCAATAAAGTAAAACTTCTTAATTTTATTACTATTTTTTCTTCTTTTTTTTCATGACTTAACAGGTGATATTGTTTCTTCCAATTATCATTACATCATTAAATATTGTTTCTTCTAAAGATTTTGACATCAATCACTATACAGATGATACTGGGATGTTTTGGGGGATTCAGTATTTGATTGACATGTTACTCCAACTGATAGAGTACTGAAAGTAGTAATATTGGATTGGCTAGCTGAAATACTAGAGGGTTTAGTTTGATTGTAAGTGAAATTTTAGGAGGTAAGTTATAAATTAGTCCTTCTAGTTTTGCAAAACAAATAAATAGTTTTTCTTAGTTTAAAAATTAATTAATCAATCTATGGACCAATGTTGACAATAGTTAATTTAATATTATATAAAAACTAATTATTTAGTTATTAAAACTAGAAGGACTATTTAATTTCTTTTGAAAAATGAGAAGGATTAATTTATAATTTACTGAATTTGACGAGGGACTGGAGGAATTTTTGGATGGGATAGGCGGATGCATCATAACAAGTCAACATTAACTTGAAAGAGACTGAGTTTTGCCACCAGTTTGTGCGTATAGTTTGCCATAACAAAATTTATTGATCTCATGATCTAAACACTAACTACCAAAATAACCTACTTCTGTATCCATTATTTCTAATAATAATTTTGTACGTATGTAAACTAGTTTGTACCAAATTAAGAAACAGTAGACAAAGAAAACAACAGAAATCTTCTTTAGAAACTCCAAATAGTGGCCGAAACTATATATTAGTTATTGCAAGTGTTTGAACATTATAATTAATTACAGTTTCTAACTTGGGATTGCTTAAAGAATTAATGAAGATGTCTCTGCTGTATAGCCAACACCACTGATCATGCAAAATCCAAAATACTAGAAATCATTTGACCGTTACATATATCAGAAATTTGTTTAATTCCTTCGTGTATCCTGCCTGAACCACGGTTTTACAATGGAAAAACAAAACAAGGTACGAGGGTTTTTATAAATATCCATAAAGGAAATGAAAAGATGCAGGGGTACGAGGAAGTTGGCCGATGGCATGTGGAAAATGGTTTACAAGCAAGGGTATACAGAGGATCCAAGATCAATGATCCAGTAGATCGTTGCATCAGGAAACATAAAAAAACGTACCAGAAGCAGCAGTGCTAGCAGTAGTCCAGCACCATGGGAAAAAAGAAGGTGCAATCGCTGTTCGCTTGCATGGCTTGGAAAAAGCAGTTAGCTTTTTATTAGCTTCACTATATTCTTTCCATTGAAAGCTCATGGCACGAGATAGATTAAGAAGAACAGGGAACAAACTTGAAAACCGAACAAGATATTTATACAGGTGGACGAAGATTATCTGGATCAACAAGGCAGGCAGAAGCAATCCAGGAAGACTAGTAAGGACAAACAAGTAGCTCAACTTTAAACATTCATAACTACTAATGGAGTGGAGAAGACTGTTTTCGTATCACCTGCAGCTTATAAGGGCAGATCAAACTCTTGTTCAGAGACCATATAGGGGCAGATCCTCGATGTCGACCCAAATATCTTGACCCATCAAGTGCATGACTTTTCGTTGAGCTCTAACCTTGTAGCTCCTGATCATCTCGTTAGCTTCATCTCTCTCCATAAAGAACACCACCCTATCATTGGGAACAAGACCTTTCTGCTTTACAAAACGAAGCCAAGAAGAGCGGAGAAGAACAGGTTTTGGATATACTCCTGTCAGACGCGTTGATAAACAAAACCTCCACACATTATCAGTAGCATCGATTGCTTCAAATTTCATCATATGGGTTCCTTCAGGAATCTGAAAAGCCTCAAGGACATGGGTTGGAACAGATAGAGTATGGCTGATATGGGTTGGTTTTAGCTTCTTGGTGAAGAGATGTATTTGCTCCATTTTTTGGAAGGCAGAGTGCTGGAAGAAGATCAGCTATACACTAAGAAACAAACTTATAGATGTTTTGAGAGAAAGAGAGATGCTATATTTGCACACACAGGCACTCAAATACTTGTGTTTAACCAGCTATACACAGGCAATTGATATCGTAATCAAGCTACAACAATTGAATTCATACGTTTTACCTTAAAAGTTCTTTGGCCGGCAATTCCATGATAAATGATTGGCCATTTCAATGGCCCACAAAAGTCACTTTTTTTCTCAGTTCCAGGCTTAGCATCCTAGTGTGTTTTGTCTCTTAGTTTTCAGCAGATAAGTTCGAAATAAGATTACCTTTCATGAGTTTGACTTAATTAAATCTAAGGAGCCGAAATGATAGGGAACTAACGACATAGCCAAGCTGGGACGAGAAATTTTATAACACATCAAGAATAATTAATGATATATAAAATAATTATTTTATAGGTTTATTTGGAAAAGAGAGATAAATATATATAAAAAAGAGAAATTATATCTATACTCATAAAAAATGTTAAGAAGATTTACACGTCCGATTCAAATTTTTTATTTTCTCTCTTCTGTTTTTTTTTTTTAATTTGTCTCTCTCTTCAAAGTGGACTCATGAAGTAACTATTGTATATATTACTTAGTTACTTTTAGTGTATTACAAAATTTCTCGAACCGGGACTTGGCACCACATCATTTGAGAAGGATGTTAGAAAATCAATGTAAAATTATTTTCAAAATCTCATTTCATAAGTTAAATATTTTGATTGAAAACATTTTAAAATATAACATTAAATCTTTAATAATTAAATAATTATAAATTTGAATTCTATTATTTTTTCTAATTAAATTAAACATTTAAACGTACCACATTTTATTGTCATAAACTTATTAAATGAATTTTTTTCCCTATATTATAAAAAATGTTCAAAACTATCTATGAAAGTGAGTAATATATATATATATATATATATTGGAGACATTATTTTGGCTATAAGAAATTAAGCAAGTACTACTTGAATAACTAGGAAAAAAACAAGAGTTCAATATTTTTAAAAAACATCCATTTATTTAGGTAAGCATATGACGTTGTGGAAGAGGAACTGACAATTTAGCCACGCATGCCCTATATTAATTGACCACTGAATATTGCACTAATATTACATTTTTGTAAAGCGCAGCAGTGGCCTTTTTGTCAAAATGTGTAAATACGTACGATCATAAGATTTCAGCCAACGAGAGACTCTAACGGAAAAAAAAAAAAAAAAAACCTGGACTAAAATATAAATTAATCCCACTAGAAAATTAGTCTCTTTCATTTTAAAAATTAATTATTTAATCTTCATGTTTTTAATTTATTTATATTTTAATTTTTATGCTTATTTTTTAATTTATTTAAATTTTTTGTTTTAAGAAATAGAAAAAAGTAAAAATTTATTATTTAATTTTCGTGTTTTTAATGTACTTGTAATTTAATTTTTTTCTATTTTTAAATTTATTTTGATTTTTTTAAGAAATAAAAAAATAATAAAAAAATATTTTATAGAATAAAAATAATATTAAATCAAACATAATCAATATCGATTATAAAATAAAATAATAATTTTTAAAATAAGAAAGGTTAATTAATTCATTTATTGAAACTGAAGGGACTAACTTATAATTAATTTACTTGAAAAACTGCATTCATTTCAATCCACAGGTTCAAAAACCGCATTCACGTGTTGTATGTTAGCTGTGACCTAATGTGGAGGCATAAGATCCTACGAACTACCCTTTTCTGGGATCTTACTACTACTATTCTTTTTTCCTAGGTCATCTCTATTTTTAGCAACTATTAGAGCAGTCGTACGGTAAAACCTCATAAATATTTGTTTGGTAATAAAAAAAATGCTAATATTCTTGAATATCAGATTTCGAGCTAATATTTAAGAAATTTATTAAAATTTTCTAATTTAATTAATGCATTAAACGCAGGTTGAAGGTGTGCGCTTACAATCATTTGAGAAATTAATTAATAAACTTAATATTAATAGTATAAGTTGGTTTGAAGATATTCCATAGCGTAGAATAACAAAATAATAATAGTATGGGGATCTTGATTTGATTAAACATTACTACTAATTTAACAAATTAACATTAATGTAAAAAGAAAAAAAATTAGCCTTCAGATTTAAATCCTTCCAATAAAGTAAGTATTTAGATATCAACATCTCAAGCAATAGCTAACATTATATATTATAATATCATATTTTAGTATCATGATGATTATTTTATCAATTAAAACAAATCAATCTCAGGAATAATCTTACTTCTGTCTAGAAAATTATGATGTAAATCATGCTTATGTACCATAAATAATTTAACCATCAAGATATATAGTTTAGCGGTAAAATAATTGTTTTAGTTCGATTAAAATCAAAATTAAATTTTCATTTTCTATCGATAATTAGTCATAATTATTTTTTAGTGGTCAAACAAAAGCTATTAGTGATATTAAGTATTGGTATTTTAAATATTTTTTTGGGAGAAGCAAGTCATCATCCTTTTGCTTTATACTACCATTTTTTCTATAATTGTTTTTACGTGAATTTAGCCTCATACATTAATAAAATCTTCGATCCTATTCGTAGGTTTATTTCATAATTATCTTTCTATTCTTTTTTTTATTATTTTTGACAACAACTTTGGCCCACACGATAGCATTGAGAACCACTTTCAGCTTTTCTCTTTTTTCTTGCCTAATGTATCTAGTTATTTTTGTTGATAATCGAAAGTAGGATAAATCAGTAGACACTCTTATTTCTTTGGATATTAATTAGTGGGTTTGTTGCAAATTATTTTTCTAGATTCAAATCTTAAATGAATCTTAGATGTGACCACAAAGATTTAATATTCAAATGCATTATTTTATGTGTGGATTATCTTTAACAAGTGGTGTACCTTATTTTACTTTCATTTATTTTTTTCTTTTTTTTTATAAAAAAAAACATAAGTTTTACATAAAATTTAAACTCAAAACCTCTTAGAACAAGAAAGCTACTAACATTACTTGAAGTACAATTCATTACCATACCCTAAAAAAAATATTAAAGTAGTTACACATTATCAACGTCATGCAATAGCTGTAGAAAAACTTGAATTATAATAAGATATTCATCCTTATTATAGGTTCATTTAACCCTAGGAAATTTCCAGGAACCTTCAGCCAAGAAATTTCCTCGAAACTTCTTGCATTCTTTCCACGGTCTAAGTCCATTTAATGTGGAACCCACAGAAGAAATTTGTGGCAACAATATATTATCCGTATATTAATGTTTAATTAATTTTAAGAATGTAAGTTTTCAACTAGAAGAAAACATGGACCACCAATGACCAGTACAATTAGCCAGCACAAGCCAAGGGAGAGGGAACAATATTATTCCATTGCTAATTAAATTTCTCTGGGCTGGTTGGTCAAGCAATTAAGATTTGGTTGATCTTACACGATTCAAACAGCCGCCCAACCTAAATATGATGTCATCAAATGTTTATTTTTGTAGAATAGGAAAATAAAATCTTGTCAATTCAAGGAGATTGAAGGATGAAATGTATGTGGGCATCCGGATTTTACTTCCTATCCTTAAAATGTTTATTTTGGATGGTTTTGATCTGTTTGATTTTTCTGTAAGTGCATGTTGGCCTGTAATAGTACTCATTACCTAGAACTTGCCTCCATGCAAATGTATGATCCGATGGTTTATGTTTTTGGCTATGGTGATTTTGGTCCAAAAGGTCCGGAAAGTAAATTATGTGTGTTTTTAAGATGTTTAAGGTTAAAAGAGCCAAACTTTTTTTTTTTTTTTGAGATTTAGTTTATCTATCAATTTTTTGTTATTTATCCTAAAGAAATAACAATATAAGTATCATTGCGATAAAAATTATTTAGTGAGATTGTTTTTCAAAAAAAAAAAAAAAAGATCATTCCAGCTTATTTATTAAAAAAATAAACAAATATAATTTCTTATCTTGAATTTCTTAAAAAAAAATTTCTCTATGGATGTGTAAAATTTCATATAAAAATACTAAGAATTGAATTTTTTAGAGGAGAAGGATGATAGTTAAACGTCATAAGATGAACTAAATCTAAAAAAAAAAAAAGTTTAAGGAGGTCAAAACACAAATTAAAAAATTTAAAAACTGATTTTCAAATAAATTAAAAATCAGAAAAAAGTTTGGTCCTTTTAACCAATGTTTAATTAACTGATGAGTTTAAAAATGGACGAGAATGATTCCTAGGACCTAAAAACTAAGCACGAGAGTTTGCTTGCACATGAATACCTTGGTGAGCAGCCAGGCCATGGCAACATTGAGAGTCCTCGACATGATTCCCAGAAGCCAACCTCCTCCCCTTCCATCACCAGAAAGATCTAACCCAAATGATGAACCTCCTTTCTACTAGGTTTGTTTATGTCTTGTAATTGTTATGTTTTAATTACATTTTGTGAACACATATTTACCTTCTAATAGGAAAATTTGAAGGCGACCATACAGGATGAAATATTCAAGTAATACTAAGATGACCACCTCTTTATATGGAAGGCCAATCATAAAAGTTTCAAACGACAGTCCGGGGGGAACATCACCAAAGATTATGTGAATGTCCTCCAATAGAAAACTCCACCAGCTCACCTTGAAAATTATAAAACTTATTTCCAAGAGGAGCCCATATACATAGTTTTAAATAAGAATAAGGATATAAAACAATTACGATCGTGATTACGGATCATGACTTATCTCAAATCGCAATAAGATTTGATTTGAAGTAGCTAGTGACTTATCGCGATAATAAAATAAGCTGCCATAACAATCAATATCGTGAATATATTAATATTTATTAATAAATTTATTATGATTCATATATTTTTAATAGTTTTACTAATTAAATATAATAATAACATATTTAATAATTTACTATCATACAACAATTTTATATGCTCGATATTTTAATTAATTAATTTAGCTAACTTTTATTCCGTATTAATCCTTTCTTTTTTTTTTTTTTTGACATGGGTCTAAATTGCGGATAAATGGATTGAACTAACAATAGATCTAACTTCTTACGTCACAAGAATGAACATGGATATTCGACAAAGTTAGTGTTCATGCCTTGTCATTAGGATGCATTAAGGAGAGTGACTTGGTGAGCTAGAAGCATGATCCGTTAAGAAAATGCCCAATTGTTCTTTTAGCCTTTACTAGCAAGTTAAATCGATTGTCCAAACTTGAATGATGTGGCATGATTTTAATGATCAAGGATCATTTTTTTCTTACTATAAATATCAATCTTACATTATTGTAATGAAATCAGAACTTTTATATTAGAAAACTTTGAATCCAGAACTTTCGATCTCTGGCTAAAAAAAAATCCTTGAACTCTCCATCCTAAAACTCTCTCACTCACACTATGCAACACTTAAAGCTTCACCTGTCAACAATATTGCTTGTGCCTTACTAGCATTGCTTGCTCTTCCTCTCACGCCTCTCACCATTTGCATCATTTTTGCTTGGTTGGTTCGTTGATCGTTACTTTTATAAGTCACAAAACTAGCTCTTTGCATCTTCATTAGCTTACCGACCAACTATCCGATTAACTCTCAAAAACACCTAATCTACAACAATATTTGAATTTATTATAAGAAAATAACACTTTTAATAGTTTAATATCACATAAAAATAATAAAATACATTATAACCTCAAAATATTATAATTCACGTTAATAGCATATAAAAAAGTGCATAATAGATTTAAATTTTTTAGGAAAAAAAAGTAAAAATAAATAAATATAACATTAATATTTAATAAATAACAATATAACATACTAATAATATCGTATTCACCATTATTTATTCAAAACAATGACGAAGATTCTATAACTATGAATAACGATAATAAAAATGCCCGGAACCGTTATTAACTTAAAAGCTGTTAATTGAAACCATGCCCATATAAGCTCAGCTTCGCTCACAAGTACTGTTCAATTCGGATTTGGACGGTGAATTGTATTCAATAGTGTTACAATTAATACTAAGGAGAGCATCGAGCAATCCTTTTCCAATCTTAGGCAAAAGCAATTGTATAAATTTGAAGCTCGTGTAGGCAATTACAGATGTGCCGAAACGCGTCCGGCCCAAAATAGCTTTTCTCGTCATTTTAACAGTGCAGAAAGCGAACATGGATTTCATTTAACAGTGCAAGAATCGGAGTTTATGAATCGAGTTCTTCGGCAATTATGCTTTAAGGTTGCGTAATGCAATCTCCCTACGGTATGTCTAACCTAGGTGTGATGGTTGAATTTTCCACTTTATAGATGCGGCAACTCCTAGAAGACCTACAAGTGTTAAGCTAGTAGCCCTTGATTATGCATCCTTACTGATAATAAGCATTAGGATACCGATACTGGGGCTCGATCCATCCAGTATATCAATAAAACATGTATTCAACACAGAAAGAAGAGGGAGACACAAATGAGATTAAATGATGACACTCACACTGTGACTTGATCCAAGCTCTATATATGTCTAAGTAATATATCAAAGTACGCATAAAGGTATTGAATAATGAGGAAAAATAATAAGGGACATACTGTTTAGCACGTTTTGTATCAGTCTCTGATGCAGAACACTTGGAATATGAACTCTCCTTTTTGTCGGATGAAATTTTTGGATCATGTGGACCATCAAATGGATCTTGCTTTTCACTCTCTGAAACACCATCTGCTTCCCGCGGGGCAAATGATGATCCTGAACTCTGCAAATCAGCATTCTCCCTGGCAAATAGACACTCAAGGCAGAAATATTAACAATAGAATACCAGACCAGAAACAGGTAAAACAAATAAATATATCAAATGCCCCAAATTCTGCTACGGAATGAAACAGTTAAAATCCATGGGAACTGTGTAAACATGCAGTACTAAAGGTAATCTGATCATAGATGTACTATGCATCACTGAAAAATTCATACAGCTAATAACCCTAAACCTGCTGGGACAAAAGACATGTAGGCATCAAAAGGCATGTCACAACATTCCATAAATTTTGAAAATTCATGAAAATTCCAAATCACAAGTTGCACAAAGAACCCACACAAAAGGGCTTGTAATCAAAATCTTCCAATAGAAATTTCATTGTTCATACTAGCAATAGTTTTGAGGATAGAAAAAGTATTAAGAGATTGTCAGTTTAGTAGTGGAGGACAGATAAGCCATTGTCCATATGCTGTTTCAGTCTGTATATTAAATTCTCAGCAATTAAACCTTAAGGAAATTACCAGTCACAAAGAATATGATTTGTGATGCTGATTAGAGACTATGTAGTCACAATACCTCAGCTTTATCGGAGAGTTTGACAAAGTCACAAACTAGTTGGAGAAGTTTCTTATTAGAGCAGATGTCTTGGGAATGGCCATCCAAGACATAACAGGCTTCAGTTGCACGAAGAATTACACCAAGAACAGAGTACCTGGATGAGACATAGATTGAGTACTTTCTCTCCTGTAATCTGCTTATTTCAAAATCCAAGAGGTTGATCAACAGACTTGGTAAACCCAGCATCTTTCAAGGATGAAACAAGGGTATATGAAGCTTCCTGTTGACTTTCAAGTGTGGCTAGTATCAGTCCCACAATCTGCTCAAAAGATGTCTCTGCTGTGTACCTTATCAATCTGAGATAAAGCATGTTTTTGCAGTTCGAGAATCCCGTTTTCATTTTCTAAAATCACCCGCTCATCCAAACCAAACGCTGTCTGTATTTTGCTGCAAGTATCCTCTCATTCTAATTGATGTCGTACGTAATCAATTCTCTCAATGAATGACAATGCAGCTTCATTTCATCTCTGATATTTTAACTTGATTCAGCTCCTATAAAGCTGCTAGATCCAACTCTTAAATCATGGAATCCTTTCTTCTTCTTCTTTTTCCTTGATAATGATCCGTTTTCGAGCCTGGATCATGCATTTTCTACAGCAAACATCTTCAATGTTTTCTACTCCTCTTTTCTTGCCCTTCCTGCAGATTAATTACTGGGATGGACAAAGGTACAAATCTAGACTGTAAGAGAGACAAATAATGTACAAAATCAAAACATAATCACATACCCATAGTTTCAAGACTATCCTATTCGGCCTACCAAATCAGAACATTCATCAGTACTACCTGCAGAAATATTCAAGTTTCTGATGGGTTTGTCTGAACTGGACAACAAGATGCATATTGAGGATTGGTAAGGTGTGGTTGTGAGGAATCACGGGCGAGCTGATTTTTTTTTAAACGAAAAAGAATAATCATTGACGAAGACTTTACAGAACGTTACTCTATTTGCCGAGGTCACTACGGCAGGACCATGTGAAAAACTCTATTTAACAAAGTAGTTGAGGACTAGATTTTTATAGGACAAGAATTTTTATACAGATGTTATCGGTTGGACTTGACCAATTATATCATGCCATTTCAGCAATAATTAATATAATATGTTGTATCAATTTAAAATTTTTTCAATAAATAAAAAATTATATTCTCGTATCTCATATAAAGATCAGAGTTTTTAATGAAATAAAAAACGTACCTATATAATAATATTTTATAGCAATAAACTAAAAAATACTGTTTGATTTATCGATCCAATTCGATGCAATTTCTTGCAAATGATCACAATTAAGAATTAGATGAAAGAGCCAAAATAAAGAAAAAATAATTGGCAAAGGCTTGCATTAAAAAAAAAAAAAAAGGCTGCGTAAGCACCGTGTGCAAGGTATAGTAAATTAGAATAGGACTAAAATAATGAGGAAAAATAATAAAGGACATACCGTTTAGCACTTTTGTAACAGTCTCTGATGCAGAACACTTGGAACTTGAACTCTCTTTTTTCTCGGATGAAATTTTTGGATTATGTGGACCATCGAGTGGATCTTGCTTTTCACTCTCTGAAACACCATCTGCTTCCCGCTTCACAAATGATGATCCTGAACTCTGCAAACCAGCATTCTCCCTGGCAGAGGAAAGGCCGCTTTGATAGTGTTGCTGTTCATCGAATTTAGTTTTAAATGTGAAGTAAATCGACATTTCAATTTGTAACCAAGTCCTTCGTGAGGAAATTAAGGAGTTTAACGATACCTAGTAATTCACTAGGATTTTTTCGTGGTTATTTAATTTGAATAATTAAATAAAAATAAAAGGAATGTCGTTAATCGAAAGAAATAATATTTCATGAAACAAACTGATTGAGATATAAATATTATAAATCCGAAGATACAACACTTACATCAATCGTCTTTGATGACGTTGAAGCCATTCGATCACTATCGAATTGAAATTGGAACTTCTAGACTACCGGAAAGAAAAAACAAATGCTACCGATCTAACTTAAAGGAATTTAAAACTATTATAGAGAAAACTAGATAAAACTAATCTTTAGAGAGATTTTGTCTTGATCTTGTTGTCCTTTTCTCTCTCCTCATCCTCCTTCCTTTAAACAGTTTCTCTTGGTGATCGATAAGCTGTCCGACGTTTCAAATTTAAGTACAAACGGTTATTAAGTTTTATTTTTATCTCTACTTATTAATATGGATTGATTTATGAAACTAAACACATCGTTTTGTAAAACTTAGTTATTTCCCAAGTATCGTTTCAAATAAAGAGAGGTTTGAAATTTGTTTTGGCTGTTAAGATCTAAAATGCATCATTTCATTCTTATTTTATTGAAATTTATCGTTTCATTAAAATTCATCGTTTGTCGAAGTTGATTTATTCTAAGGAACGCATTGTTTCACTTATGAAAATGCATTATTCTAATTAAAATGCAATGTTTTAATGCAAATAGACCTTAATTCCAATCGACATGTGGCTTTTCAATTTATGTATGCCAACGGATAGTTTGGGGGCATTTAAAGATGAATCTCGAGCCCTATTCTTCTTTTTTGTCATGTTCAGTTCAGCATGGAGAGAAGTTTGCCTAACATCTTTATAATAATCAAAGTCTTGAGATCCCCAAGAAGGTATAGCAACACATTTTATATCTGTACTCATCCTATGCTGCATAATCTATGTTAGAAGCATTAGCTACATCTATGTACGCAAAGGAGTCACTTGACGAACGCCTATGACCTCCTCTCCGGACAGGTGTACGTCTCCGGCTCATTAAGAAGATCATCAAGCCATGAAGGCTGGTCCTCTATGACGAGAGTCTCAGAGGAAGGTTCGTTGGTGATGTGTGTTTCCCTCTGTAGGCTTTTGAACAGTTTTTGATCCAATATTGCTGCTGGGAACATAATCAACGTATGATGGAGAAATAATAGGAAAAAGGACTTTTTGGAGGAAGTAATGCATGCTTTCCCGAGTACATCAAATTTCTTATGTTTCCTGACTCTTTGGAGTTTGCCATTGACAAAGCACTAGCAGTACCTGTCATAGAATTTTATATAGGAAACAAATCAGGGTACTTAATGGTAATGTTGGGGATCAAAAAATAAAATTTTCTAATGTTTTCTGGTCTCTCAATCACATCCATCACAGAAACCTCAGAGAGCAATATAGATAGATAACCTCACAATAAAGTTCGTAAAACCCATATTCTCTAAGATAAGAAACCACAAATGAAAAAGAAAAGGGAAAACATCTATCCGCCAAAATTTGTTCTCTGCATTTCTCGAAAATTCAGGGCAGAAATATTAACAATAGAATACCAGACCAGAAACAGGAAAAACAAATAAATAAATCAGATGCCCCAAATTCAGCTACGGAATGAAACTTTAGTAATCAACAGTTAAAATCCATGGGAACTGTGTAAACATGCAGTACTAAAGGTAATCTGATCATAGATGTACCATGCATCCCTGAAAATATCATACAGCTAAGAACCTAAACCTGCTGGGACAGAAGACATGTAGGCATCAAAGGCATGTCAGAACCTGCCAAAAGTTTTGAAGATTCATGAAAATTCCAGATCACAAATTGCACAAAGAACCCACACAAAAGGGCTTGTAATCAAAATCTTCCAACAGAAATTTCATATTTCATACCAGCAATAGTTTTGAGGATAGAAAAAGTATTAAGAGATTGTCAGTTCAGTAATGGAGGACAGATAAGCCATTGTCCGAATTTCAGAAACTCCACAGATGCTGTTTCAGTCTGTATATTAAATTCTCGGCAATTAAACCTTAAGGAAATTACGAGTCACAAAGAATATGATTTGTGATGCTGATTAGAGACTATGTAGTCACAATACCTCAGCTTTATCGGGGAGTTTGGCGAGGTCACAAACTAATTGGAGAAATTTCTTTTTTTTTTTTTTATCAATATATAAAAAGGAAAAGAACCAGCAAGAAAGTGGCTATAATCACAGTTTATAATACAAGTAAGACAAACTAAACAACAACATTTCTAAAAACAGCAAAACTAGACCTCAACAATAAAAGAATGAACTATCTATTCAGAGAACCCAAACGACAAGTTCTTAAAGTATTTATCCATCTTTTGATTTTATTTGAGCTAATAAGAAGATCATTTCCAGAATAAATAAAATGATCATCAATATATCTAGCCTAATGCTCCACTCTATGAAAAACCAAAGAAAGAACATTGTCCCAATCAGGAGAAGTTTCTTATTAGAGCAGATGTCTTGGGAATGGCCATCCAAAACAGAAAAAGCTTCAATTGCGCGAAGAATTACATCAAGAACGGAGTACCTGGATGATACATAGATTGAGTATCAAATGTAAAATGCCTGTAAAAGTTCAAAAAGTCAATAAATTAGACGAGCACACCAGGCAACAAATTAATTGTGTTAACCCTTCAATGCAAATAAAGTGCAGTCACGCCTTTCAGGTACTCTCTCTCCTGTTAATCTGCTTATTTCAAAATCCAAGAGGTTGATCAACAGACTTGGTAAACCCAGCTTCGTCAAGGATGGAAGCTTCCCGTTGACTGTCAAGGGTGGCTAGTATCAGTCCTACAATTTGTTCAAGAGATGTCTCTGCTGTGTACCTTATCAGAGTTTGCGTAACTCCTTTCTCCTTATAGGATGTCATTCAAATTTGCATATAATCAATCTGACATAAAGCATGTTTTTGCAGTTCGAGCATCCTGTTTTCATTTTCTAAAATCACCCACTCGTCCAAACCAAACGCTGTCTCTATTTTGCTGCAAATATCCTCTCATTCTAATTGATATCGTACGCAATCAATTCTCTCAATCAATGACAATGCAGCTTCATTTCATCTCTGATGTTTTAACTTGATTCGGCTCCCATAAAGCTGCTAGATCCAACTCTTAAATTATGGAATCCTTTCTTATTCTTCATTTTTTCCTTCATAATGATCCGTTTTCGAGCCTGGATCATGCATTATCTTCAATGTTCTCTACTCCTCTTTTCTTTCCCTTCCTGCAGATTACTATAAATAAACCAAGACTGGGGTGGACGAAAGGTACCAATCTAGACTGTAAGAGAGACAAATTAATAATGTAGCTTGATGGATGGAAGCACACCTCCCTCACAACAATTTTGGGATAGAAAGAAGAGAGAGAAAGTTATTTTTGCTTTTATCTGTGTTAGAGCACATATCTCATGTTGAATAATTAAATCAAAATAATTAACATATAATAAAGTTAAAAATCAGCTACTCATAACAAAGATTTAAGTATTTTCGATAGAATTCTATCTTAATTATCTAACTCTATAATTTAAAATAACAAAATCGTATTTAGTGGGATTTCAATGCACTATTTATTTATTTATAAAATAGTATTTGGTGGAGTGTTATAAATTTCCAATAATTTTAGAAAGAAGAGATGTCTCTTGCATATGGTGGACTTGCCCAGCCATATATATATATATATATTTTCCATTTTTTTTTAATGGAAGCCTTTGCCAATGATATATATATATATATATATATATATATATATATATATATATATATATATATATATATATATATATATATATATATATATATATATATATATATGGTTATTGTCATCTATTTCTTAATTGTGATCATTTGCAAGAAATTGTATAGAATTGGATCGATAAATCAAACAATATTTTTAGTTTATTGCTTCAAAATATTATCATAGAAATATATATGTCAAGAATTGTTTTTCATTTCATTAAGAGATCTTATCTTTATGTGAAACAGAAGAATATAATTTTTCATATACTGAAGTTTTTTTAAATTGATGCAACTTATTATATTAATTATTACTGAAATGGCATGATATAATTAGTCAAGTCCAAACGATAACATCTATATAAAAATTCTTGGCCAATAAAAAACTAGTCCTCAACAACTTCATTAAATAGATTTTTTCACATGGTCCTGCCGTAGTGACCTCAGCAAACAGAGTAACCTTCTGTAAAAGTCTTCGTCAATGATTGATTCTTTTTCATTGAAAAAAATAAAAACGCTTCGCTCGTTATTCTTCACAACCACACCTAACCAATCCTCAATATGCATCTTATTGTCCGGTTCAGACATACCCATCAGAAACTTGAATATTTCTGCAGGTAGTACTGATCAATGTCGTTCTGATTTTGGTAGGTCGAAAAGGATCTTGTCTTGAAACTATGGGTATTTGAATATGTTTTGATTTTGCTAGCGAGACCCTTCTAAGTATGGTGCTATTTTTGAGATGACTGTTGGAGGTTCTGTCAACTATTCCAAATTTCAGATGCCAGAAAATTTCTCACTTGGAGTTCCTGGCTATAGTTGCGGACAGGCAATTGATGCGATTCCCACCAAGTACACAATAGATGGAGGCCGAAGGTGGACACAAGCTCTTAGTAATCACTTTCAGAAATTTAGTTTCTACTTCTCCATAACTATATGTTGATCTTCATCTCTCTTTTCTAACGTTCCTTGTGCTGTTTTCTTGAAGGTAAATGGACTGTGACCTGCATGTACTCCCAGAGTTTAGCATCATCTACACCAAGATTTTGTGTAGTCTGCTTTCTACAATGACACAATTGTTACTTGCCCCAGATGCAGCAGCGGCTGCCAAGGACAACCTAGAGCACGATGTGTAAAGTAAAACTTCTTAATTTTATTACTTTTTTTTTTTCATCTAGTAATACATGTAGGGGTTTCTTGGTAACACTTGAACAAGATTCATTTTCTTGTCTTAAATTTTTCTTAAGGTATAGAACTTTTCGACTAAAATTATGTTCTTGTTCTTTTCACTATCCAGGTTTGGTGAGACCCCATCATTGCTGCAACAAAGTCGAGATCCAAATCAAATTCAAACACCTGCAGTAAGGTGTTCAGATCATATGTGCCCGATAAGGGTGCATGGGCATGTGAAAGAAAATTACAAACTATATTGGCGGGTTAAATTGACAGTGACAAATCTCAACATCATTAAAAATTATTCAGCATGGAACTTGGTGGTCCAACATTCGAACCTGCAAAGATTGACACAAGTTTTCAGCTTCAACTATGAACCCCTCAATCATTACGGATATATCAGTGAGTTGTTGCATCAAGCTAGCTTCTGTCAGATCATTGTTTACAAGACTTCATGACTGAACAGATGATATTGTTTCTTCTAATTATCATTAGATCATTAAATATTGTTTCTTCTAAATATTTTGACATTAATCACTATACAGATGATACTGGGATGTTTTGGGGGATTCAGTAGTTCAAAGACATTTTACTCCAATAAGTTATAAATTAGTAATATTGGATTAGTGTGATTGTAAGTGAAATTTGAGGAGGTAAGTTATAAATTAGTCCTTCTACTTTTGCAAAACAAATAAATAATTTTTCTTGTTTTAAACATTAATCAATCAATCTATTGACTAGTGTTGACAATAGTTAATTTAATATTATATAAAAACTAATTATTTAGTTATTAAAACTAGAAGGACTATTTAATTTCTTTTGAAAAACTAGAAGGATTAATTTATAATTTACTGAATTTGATGAGGTACGTGAGGAATTTTTGGACGGGATAGGCGGATGTATGAAAGCAAGTCAACAACTTGAAAGAGACTGAATTTTGCCACCGGCTTCTGTATCCATTATTTCTAATAATAATTTCGCACGTTTGTACCAAAAATAAGAATCATTAGACAAAGAAAACAACAGAAATCTTCTTTAGAAACTCCAAATAGTGGCCCGAAACTATTAGTTATTGCTAGTGTTTGAACATTATAATTAATTACAATTTCTAACTTGGGATTGCTTAAAGAATTAATGAAGATGTCTCTGCTGTATAGCCAACATCATTGATCATGCAAAATCCAAAATACCAGAATTCATTTGAGCGTTACATATATCAGAAATTTATTTAATTCCTACGTGTATCCTACCTGAATCACGGTTTTACAATGGAAAAACAAAAAAAAGGAACGAGGTTTTTTTTATAAATATCCATAAAGGAAATGAAAAGATGCAGGGGTACGAGGAAGTTGGTCGATGACATGTGGAAAATGGTCTACAAACAAGGATATGCAGAGGATCCACGATCAATGATCAAACCGTACTAGAAGAAAAGGGAAAAAGAAGCAGCAGTGCTATCAGTAGTCCAGCACCAAGGGAAAAAGAAAGTACAATCGCTGTTCACTTGCATGGCTTCACTATATTCTTTCTATTGAAAGCTCATCAGCCCATGGCACGAGGTGGATTAAGAAGAAAAGGGAACAAACTTGAAAACCGAACAAGATATTTAAACAGGTAGACAAAGATTATCTGGATCAACAAGGCAGACAGAAGCAGTCCAGGAGACTCGTAAGGACAAACCAGCAGCTCAACTTTAAACATTCATTACTACTAATGGAGTGGAGAAGACTGTTTTCGTATCACCTGCAACTTGTAGGGGCAGATAAACTCTTGTTCAGAGACCATATAGGGGCAGATCCTCGACTTCGACCCAAATATCTTGACCCATCAAGTGCATGACTTTTCGTTGAGCTCTAACCGTGTAGCTCCTCATCTCATTAGCCTCATCCCTCTCCATAAAGAAAACCACCCTATCATTGGGAACAAGACCTTTCTGCTTTACAAAACGAAGCCAAGAAGAGCGGAGAAGAACCGGTTTGGGATACACTCCTGTCAGACGGGTTGATAAACAAAACCTCCACACATTATCAGTAGCATCGACTGCTTCAAATTTCATCATATGGGTTCCTTCAGGAATCTGAAAAGCCTCAAGGACATGGGTTGGAACAGATAGAGTATGGCTGATATGGGTTGGTTTTAGTTTCTTGGTGAAGAGATGTATTTGCTCCATTTTGGAAGGCAGAAAGTTGTAGTGCTGGAAGAAGATCAACTATACACTAAGAAACAAACTTACAGATGTTTTGAGAGAAAGAAAGATGCTACATTTATACACACAGGCACCCAAATACTTGTGTCTTACCAACTATGGATTAAAATTCAATTGATTTCGTAATACAGCCACAACAATTGAATTCCTTTTACCTTAAATGTTCTGCGGCCGCAATTCCATGATAAGTCATGGGACATTTCAGAGGCCCACAAAAGTTACCTTTTTTCAATGTTCCCGGCTGAGCACCCGAGTGTGTTTTGTCTCTAAGTTTTCAGCAGATAAGTTCAAAATAAGATTGACTAAATTAAATCTAAGGAGCCGAAAACATTTGATGTTGTGGAAGACTGCCACTGTTATTTTTGTCAGCACAAGAGTGGCTCTTTTGACAGAATGTCATAGATACATTCACAAGATTTCAATCAATATGGATACAAACTATCAGAAAGAAAAAATGAAAATAAAATGAAAAAGAAGAGGAAAAACTGCACACATCTTGAAAAGCTGCATTCATGTTGTATGCTAGCTGTGACCTGATGTGGAGGTATAAGATCTTACGACTACCGTTTTCTGGGATCTTACAACTACTATTCTCTTTTCCTAGGCCATCTCTATTTTTAGCAACCATTAGAGCAGTCGTATGGTAAAACCTCATAAAGATTGGTTTGGTAATTAAAAAAAAAAAAACCTAATATTCTTGAATATCTGCTTTCGAGCTAATATTTAAGAAATTTATTAACATTTTCTAATTTAATGCATTAAAGGAAGGTTGGAGGTATGCGTCTACAATCATTTGATAAATTAATTAATAAACTTAATATTAATTAATGTATAAGTTGGTTTGAAGATATTCCTCAGTGTAGAATAAAAATAAATAAATAACAGCATGGTTATCTTATTCGATTAAACATTAATACTAATTTAATAAATTGGCATTAATGTAAAAAAAATATAAAAGAAACTATTTAGCCTCCAAATTGTCATTATTTAAATCCTTCCAATAAAGTATTTAGATATCAACATCTCGAGCAATAACTAACATTATATATAATATCATATTAATTTTAGTATCATGATGATTATTTTATCAATTAAAAAAAAATCAACCTCAGGAATAATCTTAATTTTATCCAGAAAATTATGATGTAAATCATGTTTATGTAACATAAATAATTTAACCACCAAGGCATATGATTTAGCAGTAAAATAATTGTTTTAGTTTGAAAAAAAAATTCAATTTTCTTTATCTATAGATAATTAGTCATGATTATTTTTTATTTTTTAGTTGTTAAACAAAAGCTACTATTGGTATTAAGTATTGGTATTTTAAGTCATCTCTTTTTTTTTTTTTTCCTTTTTGTTGTGTAGAAGCAAGTCATCATCTTTTTGCTTCCTATACCACTTTTTGGTAATTGTTTTTATGTGACTTTAGCCTCATTAATAAAATCTTTGATCCTATTCACAGGTTTATTTCGTAATATATCTTTTTATTTTAGCATTGAAAACCAGTACTTTCAGCTTTCGTCTTTTTTCTTGCCTACTGTATCTAGTTATTTTGTTGATAATAAAAAGTAGGATAAAACAGTAGATACTCTCATATCTTGGGAGATTAAGTGGGTTTGTTGCAAATTATTTTTCTAGATTCAAATCTTAAATGAATCTTAGATAGATGTGACGACAAAAATTTAATTTCTTTTAAATGCATTATTTTATGTGTGGATGATCTCTAAAAATGGTGTACCTTATTCCTTTTTTTGAAAAAAAAAAAACATAAGCTTTACATAAAATTTAAACTCAAAACCTCAGAACAAGAAAGCTACTAACATTACTTGAATTGAAATTCATTACCATACCCTAAAAAAAATTGTAATAAGTTGTGGAAAAAATTGAATTACAATAAGATATTCATCCTTATCCTAGGTTCATTTAACCTTAGGAAATTTCCAGGAACCTTCAGCCAATAAGTTTCGTCTAAATTCATGCATTCTTTCCATGATCTAAGTCCATTTAATTAATGTGGAACCCACAGAAGAAATTTGTGGCAACAATATATTGCATGTATGTTAATGTTTAATTTTAAGAAAGTAAGTTTTCTATTATGAAAACATGGACCACCAATGCCAAATACAAGTGGTCAAAACCGAGGGATAGAGAACAATATTCCACTGCTAAATTTCTTTGAGCTGGTTGGTCAAGCAATTAAGATTCGGTTGATCTTACACGATTCAAACAGCCGCCCAACATAAACATGATGTTGTTAAGTGTTTATTTATGTAGAATAGGAAAATAAAATCTTGTTAATTCATGTAGATTGAAGGATGAAATGTATGTGGGCATCCGGATTTTGCTTCCTATTCTTAAAATGTTTATTTTTTATGGTTTTGATCTGTTTGATATTTCTGTAAGTGCATGTTGGCCTGTAATAGTACTGATTATCTATAACTTGCCTCTATGCAAATGTATGATCCGATTGTTTATGTTTTTGGCTATGGTGATTTTTGGTCCAAGAGGTTTGGAAAAGAAATTATGTGTGTTTTTGAGATGTTTAATTAAGGTTAAAAGAGCCAATTTTTTTTTTTCCTGAACATTAGTCTATTTGAAAATCAGTCTATGAATTATTAATTTGTGTTTTGACATTCTTGAACTTTTTTTTTTTTTTTGAGATTTAGACAATTTATCAATTTTCTCTCATTTATATATATAAAAAAACAATATAAGTATCCTTATGATAAAAATTATTCAGTAAAAATTTTTTTCAAAAAAAAAAAAGGGATCATTTTAGATTATTTTTTATTATTTTATTATTTTTATATTTTTAATGTTCAAAAAATAAAAAAAATATAATTTCTGACCTTGAAATTTTTTGAATTTTTTCTCAAAGTATGTGCAAAATTTCATATAAAAATACCAAGAATTGATTTTTTTTGTTTTTTTGTTTTTTTTTTTTTTTGGAGAAGGATGATAGTTGAAAATCATAAGATTGACAAAATCTGAAAAAAAAAAAAAAAAGTTTACGAAGGTCAAAACACAATTGAAAAAGTTTAAAAACTAATTTTAAAATAAATTAAAATTCAAAAAAGATTTGCAACTTTTAACCAATGTTTGATTAACTAATGAGTTAAAAATGGATGAGAGTGATTCCTACGACCTATGTATACCTCCAATAGAAAACTCCACAATTGATCACCTTGAAAATTGTACAACTTATTCGCAAGAGGACCCATGTACATAGTTTTAAATAACTCATGGCTACATATCACGACTTATCTCAAATTGCTATAAGGTGTGATTTGTCATGCATCTTGACTTATCGCAATAATAGAATAATTTTCAAAACAACGAATACCATAAATATATTAATAATTATTAATAAATTTATTTTAATTTATATATTTTTAATAATTTTATTAATTAAATATAATAATAACATATTTAATAGTTTAATATTATACAACAATTGTATTTACTCGACATTTTAATTAATTAATTTAGCTAATTTTTATTGTGTATTAATCCATAATTTTTATTTATTTATTATATTGATATAAGTCTGAATTACGGACAAATGGATTGAATTAAAAACGAAATTAACTCAACATAAGGTCTTATATAATAAGGATGAACATGGATATTCTAGCAAAGCCATTGCCCATGCCTTATCATTAAAATTCATCAGGGAGATTGGTTTGGTGGGCTCGGAGTAGAGTCCACTAAAGAAATGCCCAATTGTTATTTCATTTAGTATTTGCTAGCAAATTGAAATAGTTGAGCCCAAATAACCTAAATCCTGTAAGTCAAATATTGTCTAAAGTTAGATAATATGGCATGATGTTAACGATCAAGGACCTTTTTTTTTTCACTATATATACCGAGTCTCACATCATTGTAATGAGATTAGAATTTTTGTATAAGAGAACTTGTGACTTTAGAACTTTCAATTTTTAACAAAAGAAATCCTTTAACTCTCTATCCTAAAACTCTCTCCACTCGCACCTTAGACAACAACTAAAGTTTTATCTCGTTTGAACTTTGACCTTCCACCTGTCAGCAACATGATTTACGCCTTACTAGCATTGCTTGCCTTCTACGCCTCTCACTATTTGTATCATTTCTGTTTGATTAGTTGACCATTGCTTTTACAAGTCACAACACTAACTCTTTGTATTTTGAATAGTTCGTCAACCAGTCGTCCGATTAGTTCTCATGAATCCCTATATAACAATATTTGAATTATTAAAAAAAAATAACACTTTTAATAATTCAATATCACACAAGAATATTAAAATGCATTATAGCCTCAAAATATAAGATTTCACCTTAGTAGCAAAAAAAGAAGCAAAAATAAATAAATATATCATTATATGATAAATAACAACATTATATAATAATAATGTGGTTATTTGCCATCATTTACTAAAAATAGTGTCAAAGCTTCTATAATTACGAATAACAATAATAAAAATGCTCAAAACCGTTCTATTATTAACGTAAAAGCCGTTAATTGAAACCATGCACATATAAAGCTTTGTACACAAGTGTTCTATTCGGATTTGGACGGTGAATGGTATTCAATAATGTTACAAGTAATACTAAGCAGAGCATCAAGCAATCCTTTTCCAAACCTAGGCAAAAGCATTGTATAAATTTGAAGCTCGTGGAGGCAATTACAGATGTGCCAAACATGTCCTGCCCAAAATAGCTTTTCTCGTCATTTTAACAGCGCAGGAAGCAAACATGGATTTCATTTAACAATGCAAGAGAATCAGAGTTTATGAATTGAGTTCTTCGGCAATTATGCTTTAAGGGTGTGTGATGCAAACTATCTAAGGTATGTCTAAGTAACCTATGTGTGATGGTTGGATTTTCCACTTTATAGATGAGACAACTAAGGTTGTGTGATGCAAACTATCTAAGGCAGCCCTTGATTATGCACCCTTGCAATAATAAGCATTAGGATACAGATACTGGGGCTCGATCCATCCAGTATATCAATAAAACATGTATTGAACACAGAAAGAATAGGGGGACACTCATACTGTGACTTGATCCATGCTCTATATATGTCTAAGTAATATATCAAAGTACGCATAGAGGTATTGAATAATGAGGAAAAATAATAAATGACATACTGTTTAGCGCGTTTTGTATCAGTCTCTGATGCAGAACACTTGGAATTTGAACTCTCCTTTTTCTCGGATGAAATTTTTGGATCATGTGGACCCATCGAGTGGATCTTGCTTTTCACTCTCTGAACACCATCTGCTTCCCGCGGGGCAAATGATGATCCTGAATCTGCAGACCAGCATTCTCCCTGGCACAGGAAAGGCCGCTTGGATAGTTTGGGGCATTTAAAGATGAATCCCAAGCCCTGTTCTTCTTTTTTGTCATGTTCAGTTCGGCATGGAGAGAAGTTTGCCTAACATCTTTGTAATAATCAAAGTCTTGAGATCCCCAAGAAGGTATAGACATCACATTTTTATATCTGTACTCATCCTGTGCCGCATAATCTATGTTAGAAGCATTAGCTACATCTATGTACGCAAAGGGGTCACTTGATAAACGCCTATGACCTCCTCTGCGGACAGGTGTCTCTGGCTCATTAAGAAGATCATCAGGCCATGAAGGCTAATCCTCTATGAAGAGAGTCTCAGAGGAAGTTCGCTCGTGATGTGTGTTTCCCTTTCAAGGTTTTGAACAGTTTTTGATCCAACATTGCTGCTGGGAACATAATCAGGGTACTTAATGGTAATGCCTGCTTTCCCGAGTACATCAAATTTCTTATGTTTGCTGATTCCTTGGAGTTTGCCATTGACAAAGCACTAGCAGTACCTGTCAAAGAATTTTATATAGGAAACAAATCAGGGTACTTAATGGTAATGTAGTGTTTTTCTCTAAGTTAAAATCCATGGGATTTTGGTGATTAAAGATTTGGGCCGACCCTCATAATAAGACAATGTTTCAAAAGATGAACTCAGACCTTGAAAGCAACTCATGTGCTATCTTCCTAATATCCACCCATTAAATGTACAGTAATGACACATGAACACACTATAGCTCCGCTGTTCATCTCACGGTTACTCGACTAAAACTCCAGAAAGGACTTGAATCCATTTAATCAATTTCAATTTTGGTGACCCTTTTTGGTAAAATTGGTGCCAGACCAATATGCAGTGTTACAAAACATAATTGACCACACGTAACAGAAAAAACAACAATATTACAAATCCAAAAACAAACAGAGAAAATAAAAATAAAGAAAAATGTAAACAACATTTCCTTAAAGCTACTCAACAGAAAACCACTACATTACAGCCCTCTGTTTGTTGCCATGAAAAGAAAAGAAATTTCAGTATCACACTCTAAACCAAACAGACTTATTGATTTTCGTTAATCTGAAAGTAAAGTTCACGTTTTTCGAGCTCCCATACAAAAAAGAAAAGAAACCCAAAATTTAAAATTAGCAATTTCTCTTGATTTCCACATTGTCACAGCAACCAAACAAGAAAGAAGAAAAGAAATACTCTACAATCAGAGGCATATGCAATATCTGAAACAAAACAAGGAATAAAATTCGTTATTTATTTTGACAAATTACAGCAATTACTCTGTATCAATTCATGAGCTAGATTTAGTTTTCTAATATTTAATTTATAACAATATCTGAATCTTCTAATAACAGTTTAACATGTTTCATACATATATATATATATATTCAATTAAAATATTAAATTCACATAATAATTAATTTTTATAGGAAGTTTTCAACAGGGGCAAAAAAACAAACAAAAGCTAGAACTTTTTGGCCAGAAGGCTAAAAGTTGCATGATAAAATAAAATCTTTGATATTATGGCAAAGGGTCAAGTGTACAATAAATGAAAAGATTGTTCCAAAGTTGTGTCCATTCTTGTTGTTTTGAGATTTATTCTATTATTTTTGTTATTAATATGGCTATTGGCTCCCCTACCATTACTACTCTCAAAATGGATAATCAGTCAGATCATTGTTTACAAGACTTCATGACTTAACCCCATTCCCCAATTATCATTACATCATTAAATATTGTTTCTTCTAAAGATTTTGACATTAATCACTATACAGATGACACTGGGATTTTTTGGGGGATTCAGTATTTCAATGACATTTTACTCCAAAAAGGCAAGAGTGGGAATGCACAGACTGAACTTTTGCTACAAAAAGATCCCGGGATTTTTACTTTCAGAGAAGGTGGCAAATTATTTTTCTAAATTCAAATCTTATATGTGACTACAAAGATTTAATTTCTTTCAAATGCATTATTTTATGTGCGGGCGATCTCTGAAAAGTGGCATGATCATATATACCCTTCTTCCTTAAAAAACAGAAAACAAAAACAAAAAAGTTCTACATAAAATTTGAATTCAAAACCTATTAAAATAACAAAGGCTCTAACATTACTTGAATTACAATTCATTACCATACCCTAAAAAAAATATTGAACTTGAATTATCAACGTCATTATAGTAAGATATTTATCCTTATTCTAGGTTCATTTAATCCCAGGAACTTCAGCAAGGAAATTTCCTCGCAAGTTATTAATGTAAAATTATTTTTAAAAATTCATCTTATAAGTTAAATATTTTGATTGAAAACATTTTAAAATATAATATTCAATATTTAATAATCAAATAGTTGTAAATTTGAATTTTATTATTTTTATTTTTATAATTAAATTAAAATTTTAAACCCACCACATTTTACTACCATAAACTTATTAAAAGATATTTTTTCTGTATATTATGAAAAGAAATAATTACACTATAAGTATATTAATTTTTAATTTTTTCTCAATCAAGTATATAAATTTTAATTTTTTTTATTTGAATATATCAATTTTTTTAAAATTGCCAATTAAGTGCTTCTATTAATTTTTTCGTTAATCGATGACGTGTCCGGTACTCTCAAAATATTAAATTATAATTTTACTTATTTTCTTAATCGAGTACATGAACTTTAATTTTTTTGAGTACATTAATTTTTTTAAAACTATCAATTGAGTATTTTTATCACTTTATTCGTTGATTGATGACGTGTTAAAATATAAAATTATAATTTCTTTTATTGAAAGAAACTTTCTTCTCAAACTATTTTACTATTTTATAATTTAAAAAATTATTTTTTTATCTCTAAAATTTTAAATTAAACTCAATTAGGTTGTTGTTAAAAAAAACCCACTTAGGTTTAATTAATTTATGTTCATTTTGAAAAATAAAAAAGAAATTGAAGAAAAATATAAGGGCAACAAATAAGGAAAGCTAGAAAGGGCACACGGTAGAAGCATTCATTTATTTGGTAAAAAAAAAAAAGACAAACAGAAATACATCCAACCGTAAGAAGATAATTATATAAGGCAATCAATGGCTGAGAAAAAAAAAAAAAAAGCATCCACAGTGATAGTAAGATATTTATCCTTATTCTAGGTTCATTTAACCCCAGGAAACCTCGGCCTGGAAATTTCCTCGCAACTTCATGCATTCTCTAATGTGGAACCCACAGAAGAAATTTGTGGCAACAATATATATTGTTTAATTTTAAGAAAGTAAGTTTCGGGCCGATACAAGTAGTCGCTAGTCATCACAGAAACCGAGGGAGAGAGACAAATATTCCACTGCCAAATCTCTTTGGGCTAGTCGGCCTAGCAATTAAGATTCGGTTGATCTTACACGATTCAAACAACAGCCCAACCTAAGCCTGATGTTGTAAATGTTTATTATTGTAGAATACGAAAATAAAATTTTGTTAATTCATGGAGATTGAAAGATGAAATGTAGCGGTCCAAGGAAAGCAATTCGGTGCGGGAAAGCAAGCCAATCAGTGAGTCGTTCCAATCAGTCCTTGCATTCCGAGCAAGCCAGTACGGTACCAATGCTTTCTCTGTATGGTTCATATATAGACAGTGAGTAGCTAGTGAGCCAGTCAAGTGAGAAGAAAGGGGAGGAGGTAAGGAAGTGAAGTGTGCGGGCATCAGGATTTTACTTCCTGTCCTTAAAAATGTTTATTTTGGATGGTTTCATGTGTTTGGTATTTCTGCAAGTGTTTGTTCGTGTTGGCATGTAGTAGTGATCATGTATAGCTTGTGCCAATAAATGATCCGATCGTTTATGTTTCTGGCTCCGGTGATTTTTAGTCCAAAAGGTCCGGAAAAGAAGACGTGTGATTTTAAGGTTAAAAAACCCTTTTTTTTCCCTGAACTTTAGTTTATTTCATTACTAGGTATCGGTTCATTAATTATTGGCTTCGTTACTCAATCATTTTCAGCTTTTCTGGGTTCAGTTACAATCATCCCACTACTCCTAATTCAGATTGCCAGTTTGGGGAGTCTGATTTTGTTTTTCTCGATTTTCCTTCAAAGGTTTTCTGGGCAGGGGTTGGTTTTTTGGTTTTTTTTTTCCTTCATTTTTCTGGGTTTTCCTTTAAAGCTTTCTGGGCAGTCGTTCATAGGTTCTTCAAAATCTGGGTTTTTTTTCGTTATTTTTTGGGTTTGCATTCTCCTTCTTGTTTTGTTTTTACTCTCCATTACTGAGTGTTACCCATCGTTTCAGATCTCAGGAACGACAGAAGAAGGATCCTTAATCATCCACCAACCTTTAATTGCGTCCCCATCCTCACCAATTCCAAACCGTTCTACTGTTGGATTGTATCTGGATTCCTGCAACATTGGCCACACAACAGTTCCAACACAATTACCTGTATTTAAGCCTTCTATCATCATCACCAGTGACAACAACACAAGGTGGAGCGTCCTCATTCAAAATCAATCAAACCTGCAAAGTTGACAGCAATGACAGCAAGAGAGTCCAAAAAATTATCCTTCACTCCTTCTGTTTTGCTCAGGAAATTCAAATAGCATAACACCAGTTCTTTTTATTTCCTCTCGTTTCGTTGAAGCCCCACTCAGGTTAATCATCTCCCTCAGATTCTTTCGTTTTCAATTTTCACTAAAATGGCTGCTTTAATCTAGAAAAGGAGAAAGATGACAGTGGTTAGGCTTAGGTTTGGTTAGATTTGTTCAGTTATTGCTGGAGAAATTTCGTTCAAAAAAATTAAGAAATTGGAAGGTAAGGATTTGATGTCCAGGGAGAACGGGAGAGAGAACAAAAAAAAAAAAAAAAAAAAAAAAAAAAAAAACGACGAACAGAGAAAAAAATGAACTGGGGAACGGGGGCCAAATTGTGGTTTGATCTAAAAAGTATTAAGAAATTCTGGTCTGTGGGCTTGGTCCTGCCTGGATGATTTAATAAAAAGGAACGTGGGTTTAGCGAAGCCCAACCCACTCTGAAGCAGAAACTGGGCTGGATTCAGCCCAGCCCAGCCTTAGAAAAACCTGGCAGAAGCTGGTCCTGGTCCAGCTCCTGTCCCCCATACTTCCCTACGCATAAACGAAAATAATAATAATAATAATAATAGTTGAGAAGCTGGAACTAGTCCAGCTCCACCCAAAAAAATAATAAATAAATAAAAAGAAAAAAATAAAAATAAAAAGACTAAAAGGGAAATTTGAATTTAAAAAAAAAAGATAAAAAGGTTTGATTAATAAATAATTGTTTATGTTTGTTTATTAGTTTGTAATTAATTCAGGTACCTAATTTCAATACAAGTTAAATTTAGTTTGCTTGTTGCATGTTTGTTAGTTTGTAGTTAATTTAGAATTTAAGGTTTAGAGTTTTGCAATTATTTTTTTATGTAACTTTAACATTTATTTTATTTTATACATGTTTTTTTATTAATTTCGATTTCAGTATTTGAATTGGCTTTAATTTGTTTAATTGGTCTAACTTTATTTAGGTTCACCAAATATAAAAAAGAAAAAAATTGATTTAAAATAAAAAATGTAAAAAAAATAATATAAAGCCTTTAACGAAGTCTACTATCCGATAAAAATTGTCATTTGAGAAAAACAATATTAAAATTTCTCAATGAAGTTTCCTATCTAATAGGAATTATCGTTTGATCAAAAAATAAAATTTAGTGATGAGGTCTCCTATCTAATAGGGACGGTCGTTGCTAAAAATCATTATTTAATAATCGGGATGTTCTTCGACACACCGGTTGTGTCGAGGATTAAAGTGGATCAAATGTTTAAATCGATGTGTCGTTTGATAAAAGAGACTAACAATCGTTCCAATACAATACGATGCCATGCCCAAAACTAAAAAACTTAATTTAACTTTTAAAATTGAAGTTTAGAATCAGAAAATAATTTAGCATAAATAAAACATTTTTGGAGATGAATTTAGGACTAAACTAAATATGGCACCTGTTTTCAAAAAAGACACTCTTGAGTGATTAAATATATTTCCAAAGGCATAACCAACTTCTTATCATAGAATCTCCGAACTAATACTACTTTTAAATTCCTAGTTTCTTAATGCTAGTTGGCTAATCCAAACTTGTAAATAAATCTATAAATAAAATCTAAATTTGCAAATTAGAATTTTTTTTCGGAGTCATGTTCGATGTCGAGTAGCAATAATTTTTTTTTTGGTTTTTTTGTCATTTATTCCAAAACAATAACAATTATATAACTAGTGTTATAATGAAAATTATTCGATGAGATTTATCCGAAGTTTTTCAAAAATTTAAAATCATTCCAATTTTGATATATATATATATATATATATATATATATATATATATATTATGTTCAAAAAATAAAAAAAAATTTGATCTTGACAATTTTTGAAAATTTTCTCAATATACATGTAAAATTTCATATCAAAATACCAAAAATTTCATATTAAAATTTTCTCAATATATGTGTAAAATCATTATTTGATAAATAACAACATTATATAACAATAACATCATTACTCTTTCTTAAAACAATGACAGAGATTCTAGAACTACAAATAACGAAAATAAAAACGCCCGAAACCGTTATTAACATAAAAGCTGTTAATTGAAACCATGGCCATATAAGCTCAGCTTTGCTCCCAAGCGTTCAATTTGGATTTGAACGGTGAATTGTATTCAATAGCGTTACAGGTAATACTAAGCAGAGCATCAAAGCAATCCTTTACCAAACTTAGGCAAAAGCAATTCTATAAATTTGAAGCTCGTACAGGCGATCACAGATGTGCCAGACGTGTTCAGACCAAAATAGCCTTTCTCGTCATTTTACCAGTGCAGGAAGCAAACATGGATTTCATTGAACAGATTTTAGAAGAAACAGTTCCTATGAATGACATGTTACAGACAATGCAGATCCAACACGCCCTAAATACCCTTCATAGCTAAATTATATTCCAAAGAGTATATTCTAAATGGATCAGAAATAAATACTAATTTCCCAATTTCTAATAACTTGAACATACAAGAGAGACCAAAATAGGAACCTCTTTCTTAGTTATCACCTCCGGTAAATCATTTGCTTTGCATGATCAATGACCACCAGGTGCTCATGAGGATATTAATTATCAAATTACGAAAGTGAAAGAAAGAACAGAAAAACAAATTGTGCAAATCAGGATGAAAGTTGGCAGAACCCAGCTTTATCCCACTCAACGGTAGCAACAATTATGGTCACATGGTCATGGCTAGCCTCGGTGAGCCCGGCTGATGTGAATCAACTGGCTTTGGAATTCATGAAACGGTATAAGCACGATAAAAGCTGAAAAAAACTATCGGTTCAATTTTGAAATTTTTTTAACCTAATTCGATGCTAAATAAAAATTCATAAACCATGCCCATAAAGTAATGGTGATTTTGGCAAAAAACAAATAAAATTGTTTGGATGCTCAAAATCTACTTTTACAGTTTTTTGATATTTTTTCTAATTTTTTGGATTTTTGTATTTGTTTTCTTTTTTAGTTGATTTAGGGTTTTTCGGATTTTTCCTATCTATCTATTACTTGGAGGCAAAAAAATACAGCTTTCTTTAATTAATAAACGTTTATGAGAGAATATCTCAATTTTATCTTAATTTTTGATATTCTTGGAATCAATGGAATTAAAACCTATTTCCTAATAATTGTGGAGTGAGAACATGAAAAAATAATAAATATTTAAAAGCATTTCCATTCACAATGAGGCAGATCAATAATCCCATTCTCAATGCGTTGTCGTTTTTATCTCGGTCACCGTCCAAAAGAAAACCAGTGCTTTCAAGAAGCAGCAAATCATGCTTCTGCCACGCGCATTCTCCACCCCCACGGTGTCAAACCCCTCTCAAGCAACAGAAAACAAAATATGAATATTTTTATGAACCTTCTGCCAAGCCAACTATTTGATTATTATTCTCCACTAAATCCATAAAACAAATCCCCTACAAAAGCTGGATAACCTTTTTCTTCAATATCCTTTTCTGTTCAATGTACACTTCCGTTTTAAGTCTTATTAACAAAACTATTTCCGTTTAACTCATTCCAGAGTACATGAACTTTCTCAACTTTGCACATCCTTCGTATTATAAGTAGCTATTCTAGCTTCTACAAAGAAGTCTCCAAAAATAACTACGAAACAGCAACAGCCAAAAGCATGAGTCATAACCATAATACCAAATTGTAGATTGTTTATTGATAGATCAAAAATGCAGAAATAGCATAAGCCATAAAATATTCGTGTATTCAATTCTGAGAGATAAAGCCACAAAATATTCATATATTCAACTCTGAAAGATAAAGCCACAATATATTCATCTATTCAACTCAGAGAGGTAAAGCTATGTGTCATCCACAGATATGACTATTAAGCAAGCCAAGTAGAAAATGCAGAAGGAGAAAGCTCATCCTCTTCAACAGATGAAAAATCATGTTAAAGAGTTACCTTTTCCTAGAATAGGATCTTATCTGAATCTATCAAAGAACAGTCACAATTCGTCAAAACTGACAGTAACGATAGTTGGTCACAAGTTCATATGCACTAGACAGAATGAGCTGCGATATGATTTTTTTCATCTGTAACATTGTTAATCGACTATCAACACGAGCTTTGAAAATCTACATGCAACAAAAGTGTCATACGTCCTAATGGACTAGATGTTTGCCTCCCAAGAAAAAACGGGACGACTTGACTCCAGTCCAAAGGAAAGATAATGTAATTTGTAACAGCTATAGCGCCTCGACCATCAACCATTCAAATTGGAGAAAAGAAACTGGTTGTTTTCATGCAATGGTCCTCTTAGAGGTATATATGCACCCCTGAGTTACTCATGGATTGCCAGCTCCTTTCTTCTTCAATATTTATGCTTGCTTTCACTTTCATCCCATTTGAAAATGATTCTTTCAGCTCAAGAGTAGAATGGAAAGACACTCAACATGTTCGATAGAAAAAATCATGACATATCAGTTCTTTTTTGCCTTCTTTCCCTCCACATGGTAGAAGCATTATCATCTATCATTACAATGTGATCGGAGATCCCAAATATGAAACCTATTAATTCCACACAAAATAAAAAGACAAAATCGCTCCAACTTCAATCTAAGACCTTTAAAAATATATGACCTCACATTGTCATATTTGAAGAGTGGCTAGCTATAAGGTTTATGCTGATGAAGGAAAAGTTAAAGGGTCTTTGAAGAAGAGTTTCTTGCCTAACATCTTTGATAATCAAAGTCTTGAGATCCCCAAGAAGGTATAGACATCACATTTTTCTCTGTACTCATCCTGTGCTGCATAATCTATGTTAGAAGCATCAGCTGCATCTATGTAAGCAAAGGAGTCACTTGATGAACCCCTATGACCTCCTCTACGGACAGGTGTCTCAGGCTTATTAAGGAGATCATCAATACAGGATTGTCACTAGTTATTTATTATGTATTATAAAATTTTTCATCAAGTCACAGTGTTATATGTAATTTTTTGCTTAAGAAACATCAAATTACATGTTGTTTGGATTGTCTTCTTGGGTTGGCTTATAAAATCTAACAGACAACCGGAGAAAAATGGTATTCTAATCTAACGGCCCAAAAAGATAATCCCAAAATCTCTTAATTAAGAGCCATGGACTCCTCTCAACCTACCTAGCAATCTTTCTCTCCTTCCATGTGTTCCTCACCAAGATAAATAGTGCGGCTCTATAACTTTCGGATTTTCCGAAATCCGCACTCAACCGATCCTCATCATTTCACCCGTTACTCTTTCTTTCTCACAGCCCTCATCGATACCATTAAACCAAAACACCTCCTACAAATCTAACTGTGAGAAAATTCCCTATCTTAGTTCTATTGAGCACTTTAATATTACTCTACATTCTTTCAGACGTATGCAAGCAATCCACGTGTCTTTTATCGTACACTGGGCTGTTGTTTAAGATCTTCGTATATAGGGGAGAAAATGTGGAAAAGACTTTTGATCGAAGAAGTCAATTATTAAGGTCCCATTTTTAATATACTACTACAACTGCCTTTTTTTTTTTCTTTTTTTTTTCATTTGATTCCTAATGTTGAGAATATAGATTCGATCATATTACTATTAAACTAAATAATTTCTGAGTTATTTCCCATTTTCATTGGCATTTTTTTATATATATATTATAATTTTTTTAAAATTTAATATATGAACTATTTCATGTTTGGATTAAAATCTCTTCTATCATTATTCATTATCGAAATTATACTGTTTAGATTAGGGGCAGATCCTCGACGTCGACCCAAATATCTTGACCCATCAAGCGAATGACTTTTCGTTGAGCTCTAACCGTGTAGCTCCTCAGCTCATTAGTTTCGTCCTTCTCCATAAAGAAAACCACCCTATCATTGGGAACAAGACCTTTCTGCTTTACAAAACGAAACCAAGAAGAGCGGAGAAGAGCCGGTTTTGGATACACTCCAGTCTGACGGATTGATAAACAAAACCTCCACACATTATCAATAGCATCGACTGCTTCAAATCTCATCATATGGGTTCCTTCAGGAATCTGGAAAGCCAGAAGGACATGGGTTGGAACAGATAGAGTATGGTTGATATGGGTTGGTTTTAGTTTCTTAGTGAAGAGATGTATTTGCTCCATTCTTTTGAAAGCAGAAAGTTGGAGTGCTGGGAGAAGATCAGCTATAATCTAAGAAACAAACTCATAGATGTTTTCAGAGAAAGAGAAATGCTGTATTTATACACACAGGCTCTTGATGTCTATTGTGGTACTTTTGAGGTCTTGATGTGCATTGTGGTACTCTTGACGTCCATTGTGGGGACACTTCATTAAAAGTTTTTTTGGCCGACAATGCCATTGTGGTACTCTTGAGTTCTTGATGTGGATTGTGGTGCTCTTGAGTTTCAATGCTTGTATACTGTCTTCATCATCACTTCATTAAAAGATCTTTAATATAGAAGGTCTGATTCAAGAACAATTTCAATGCTTGTATACTTTCTTCATCATCACCTGCTATCAATATGCCATCGACATATACCAATAACACAACAATCTTGCTATTTTGCCTCTTTTTGAACATATAATAGCCAAGATGAGACTGAAAGAAACCAACAGCTAACATTTTCTCAGTAAATTTTGAATGCATTGTCGTTTTTATCTCGATCATCTTGCTACGCCACTTCTATACCCCCAAATTTTCAGAATCAAAGGACTGTCCACAAGGAAACCAGTGCTTTCAAGAAGCAGCAAATCATGCTTCTGCCACGCACATTCTCCACCCCCATGGTGTCTTTGGGGTTTGTGAGCTGCCCACCCCATCTTCCTGCTCGTTCTCACTAAATCTTCTAAAAGGGTGCAGAACATCATGGCAAGATAAAGAAATGCATACAGAATATGCGCGCACATGTGTGCGCAAATACATTACATACAAACAAATATAGACATACCTGTATAGTTTCTAAGATAGCAAAAGCATCAACAAGCTCAAGAAAAGTAGAAGTACAAAGAAAATATTATGCTTTCGAGCTGAAGATATGTGAGGACAGCTGCTAATCAACTCAACAAAAAATTAGTGAGACTGAAGTTAAACCAAGATTGTTGACAATCTTCTGTTATAAATAACAAGCTCAAGAGCAAGGACACAATTCGTTGATGTAGAGCTGGATAATTTTAATTATTTTAGGGAAGCTGGAGAATGTTATTTGCCCACTACTTCTATTGTTGGTAAGATAAATTCAACTAAACCTCGATGACTCAATCCAAAACTAGTTAAAGTTACATGGATCCACTTTCTCAATATCCTTGATTTGACAAGATATGAAATTTTGAAACCCAAGGCCTACTTCAGTGCCATCCAACCTTGGCTACTTGAGAGAACCCAACAGCAAATATTATTGACCGGTAATAGTAGCACAAACTGATTCTAAGAGGCAAAGCTATAAGAATATCCATTTCACGTGGTAAAAATCACACAAAAGAGTTGACACTTTCCAAAAGATCAAATTCTCTATAAGAATTTCTACAAGACATTCGAGAAAAAGGTATTCCCAATTTTTTTGTTACATGGAAAAAAGATGCCACTGACTTCATCGTTAAAAGTAAATCCTAGAACCCTGCCTTTAGTCCGTCCAACGGGCAAAGAACCATTCAACATGCTTAAGTTGTTACCGCCCTAGCATATCATCTTATTATATTCATCAACATATAAATGAAAGTTTTTTTAACTTAAAATTTATACAAATTCATACTACTTAACATTGAAATTTTTATTTTCATTGGGAGAAAGAATAAGGGTGATAAGATTGATCTTCTGACCACTTGGTCAATGAGATTTGATACCATGTCAAGAACCACCTCAATCTAAAAATCAAGTTTAAACTGTTAGGTGAGATTTTAAAATAACATGTTGATGTTTCCCATCCCCAAATATGAATATTTCACAAATTTTGTGAAATTGACAAAAATCGCTCCAACTTCAACCTAAGACCTTTAAAGGGTCCGATAGGATGTGCCCTTGACCATGCCCATTTTTTTTAGAACCTTCAATCATGTGGTTATTTTGCAGCCGCTAAATTTGGGCCAGTAGAATGTTAATAAGGCATTAATAAAATGTTAATAAGGCATTAATAAACACCTCAGTGCCTGTCGGGATATTTTTCAACATGTTACCGCATGTATCTACTTTATTAATAAAGACGGAAATCAGAATAATGTGGCCATGAAAATGGGGCATTGAGGCTCCCCTTGTGTTATTCTATTTATATTTTGGAAATTTTAGTCCTTTTTTGAGCTTAATACTGTAAGGATTATCGGGGGTTCCATTTTAGTAGGATTTAATTGCCTGATTGGGACTGTGTTCAGTCTACAAATATCTGTACTTGTTATGCTTCATATTAAGAATCAGAGTTTATGAATTGAGTTCTTCGGCAATTATGCTTGAAGGTTGTGTGATGCAATCTATCGAAGGTATGCCTAAGTACCCTAGGTGTGATGGTTGGATTTTCCACTTTATAGATGCGACAACTCCTAGAAGACCTACAAGTAAGCATTAGGATACCGATACTGGGGCTCGATCCATCCAGTGTATCAGTAAAACATGTATTGAACATGCAAAGAAGAAGGGGGCGCTAATGAGATTAGATGATGACACTCATACTGTGACTTGATCCACGCTTGATGTCTAGGTAATATATCAAAGTACGCATAAAGGTATTGAATAATGAGGAAAAATAATAAAGGACATACTGTTTAGCACGTTTTGTATCAGTCTCTGATGCAGAACACTTGGAATTTGAACTCTCCTTTTTCGTGGAAGAAATTTTTGGATCATGTGGACCATCAAGTGGATCTTGCTTTTCACTCTCGGAAACACCATCTGCTTCCCGGCGGGCAAATGATGATCTTGAACTCTGCAGACCAGCATTCTTCCTGGCACAAGAAAGGCCTCTTGGATAGTTTGGGGCATTTAAAGATGAATCCCAAGCCCTGTTCTTCTTTTTTGTCATGTTCAGTTCAGCATGGAGAGAAGTTTGCCTAACATCTTTGTAATAATCAAAGTCTTGAGATCCCCAAGAAGGTATAGACATCACATTTTTATATCTATACTCATCCTGTGCCGCATAATCTATGTTCGAAGCATTAGCTACATCTATGTACGCAAAGGAGTCACTTGATAAACGCCTATGACCTCCTCTGCGGACAGTTGTCTCCGGCTCATTAAGAAGATCATCAAGCCATGAAGGCTAATCCTCTATGAAGAGAGTCTCAGAGGAAGGTTCGTTGGTGATGTGTGTTTCCCTCTCTAGGCTTTTGAAACGTTTTTGATCCAAAATTGCTGCTGGGAACATAATCAGGGTACTTAATGGTAATGCATGCTTTCCCGAGTACATCAAATTTCTTATGTTTGCTGACTCCTTGGAGTTTGCCATTGACAAAGCACTAGCAGTACCTGTCAAAGAATTTTATATAAGAAACAAATCAGGGTACTTAATAGTAATGTAGTGTTTTTCTCCAAGTTAAAATCCATGGGATTTTGGTGATCAAAGATTTAGGCTGACCCTCCTAATAAGACAATGTTTCAAAAGATGAACTCAGACGGTGAAAGCAACTCATGTGCTACCTTCCTAATTTCCACCCATTAAATCTACAGTAATGACACATGAACACACTATAGCTCTACTGTTCCTCTCATGGTTACTCGACTAAAACTCCAGAAAAGACTTGAATCCATTTAATCAATTTCAATTTTGGTAACCCTTTTTGGTAAAATTGGTGCCAGACCAATATGCAGTGTTACAAAACATAATTGACCACATGTAACAGAAAAAACAACAATATTACAAATCCAAAAACAAACAGAGAAAATAAAAATAAAGAAAAATGTAAACAACATTTCCTTACAGCTATTCAACAGAATAATACTACATTACAGCCCTCTGTTTTTTGCCATGAAAAGAAAAGAAATTTCAGTATCACACTCTAAACTAAACAGACTTATTTATCAATAGAAGGCATACCAATGCACATATTCATAACAAAGAAAGATGACTATAAAAAATTTGTGAAGTATCAATTTTTACTTGCTTGAATGTTTGGAAAATTACACGCAGAGGGAGCAGAGGTGTCTGCTTAATAACCAGTTCTATTACCAAATCTACCATGTATAAAACAACCTACAAACAGAAAATCCTAGTGCAGTCTGATCTTGAATAATGCGTTATGTGAACTCCTTTTGGCAACATTTACTAGGAGAAAAGACAAATCACTCAGTCCACTTCATGATGCCATTAAAAATTGAGGTCAAAGCCACTTCATCATTTTATGTGTACTGTGTAAACATGCAGTACTAAAGGTAATCTGATCATAGATGAACTCTGCATCACTGAAAAAATCATACAGCTAAGAACCTAAACCTGCCGCGACAAAAGACCTGTAGGCATCAAAAGGCATGTCACAACCTGCCATAACTTTTGAAGATTCATGAAAATTCCAGATCACAGGTTGCACAAAGAACCCACACAAAAGGGCTTGTAATCAAAATCTTCCAATAGAAATTTCATAGTTCATACTAGCAATAGTTTTGAGGATAGAAAAAGTATTAAGAGATTGTCAGTTCAGCAGTGTAGGACAGAGAAGTCATGGTCCGAATTTCAGAAAATCTACATATGCTGTTTCAGTCGGTATATTAAATTCTCAGCAACTAAACCTTTGTTATTCTAGAAAAGGGAAAAAGAATAACTGAAAGAAAGGAAATCAATTAGTTATTTAGCAAAGTTTCGTTTATTCAATGACCAGAATTAGACGAGGACAAAGAACATGATTTGTGATGCTGATTAGAGACTATGTAGACACAATACCTCAGCTTTATCGGGGAATTTGACCAGGTCACAAACTAGTTGGAGAAGTTTCTTATTAGAGCAGTGTCTTGGGAATGGCCATCCAAAACAGAAGCTTCGTCAAGGAAGAAACAAGGGTAAATGAAGCTTCCTGTTGACTTTAATTCAAGGGCGGCTAATATCAGTTCCACAATCTGTTCAAGAGATGTCTCTGCTGTGTACCTTACCAGAGTTTGCGTAACTCCTTTCTCCTTATAGGTTGTCATTCAAATTTGCAGCCAATCAATCTGACATAAAGCATGTTTTTGCAGTTCGAGGATCCGGTTTTCATTTTCTAAAATCACCCATTCTTCCAAACCAAACGCTGTCTGTATTTTGCTGCATGTATCCTCTCATTCTAATTGATGTCGTACGTAATTAATTCTCCCAATCAATGACAATGCAGCTTCATTTCATCTCTGATATTTTAACTTGATTCGGTCCCATAAAGCTGCTAGATCCAACTCTTAAATCATGGAATCCTTGCTTCTTTTTTTCCCTTTGATAATGATCCGTTTTCGAGCCTGGATCATGCATGATCAGCATTTTGTACAGCAAACATCTTCAATGTTTTCTACTGCTGTTTTCTTGCCCTTCCTGCAGATTAATTATAAATAAACCAAGACTGGGATGGACAAAAGGTATAAATCTAGACTGTAAGAGAGACAAATAATGTACAAAATCAAAACATATTCACATACCCATAGTTTCAAGACAAGATCCTTTTCGACCTACCAAAATCACAACGACATTCAACAGTACTAACTACAAAAATATTCAAGTTTCTGATGGGTATGTCTGAACAGGAGAATAAGATGCATATTGGGGATTGGTTAGGTGTGGTTGTGAGGAATCATGGGCGAGGCTTTTTTAAAAGGAAAAAGAATCAATCATTGACGAAGAGAAAAACTCTTATCTAATAAATTATGTCTGATGCGTATGTCTGAACCGGACAATAAGATGCATATTGAGGATTGGTAAGGTGTTGTTGTGAGGACTGGTGGGCGAGCCGGTTTTTTTTTTTTTTTTTTATAATGAAAAAGAATCAATCATTGACGAAGACTTTACAGCTGTTTGCCGAGGTCACTGCGGCAGGATCATGTGAAAAACTCTATTTAATAAAGTAGTTGAGGACTGGGTTTTTATTGGCCAAGAATTTTTAATAGATGTCGTCGGTTGGACTTGACCAATTATATCATGCCATTTCAGCAATAATTAATATAATATGTTGTATCAATTTTAAAAATTTTCATTACATGAAAAATTATATTCTCCTATCTCATATAAAGATAAGATCTCTTAATGAAATGAAAAACATACTTATATAATAAAATTCTATAGCAATAAACTAAAAAATACTGTTTGATTTATTGATCCAATTTCTTGCAAATGATCACAATTAAGAAATAGATGACAATAACCAAAATAAAGAAAAAAAATCATTGGCAAAGGCTTGCATTAAAAAAAACACAATATATATATATATATATATATATATATATATATATATATATATATATATATATATGTGGCTGCGTAACTCCACCATGTGTGAGCTATAGTAAATTAGAATAGGACTAAAATGCAGAGAGAGAAAAAGGGAGAATAAAGCAAAGAAAGGAAAGAAAGAAAGGGGAAGAAGGAGAAAAACAGAGGAAAATGAAAATCAAATTTATAACAGACAGTAAACAATTGAGAAGAAAAAACAAGACAAACAACATAATTTTATATTTTTAGTTAACTGTCACGTTATCGATTGATGATAATTTAGATAGAAATACTTGATTGAAAATATTTAAAAAATTAATATATTAAAAAAAATTAAAGTTTATATACTCATCCAAAATTGTACTGAAAATATAATTATCTTTTTTTTTATTATTATTATTAGTTCCCTAGTTGAGTTCATCAGCATGACAAGGTGTGGTTTAATTTTGTCTCTTGGTTCAAAACAAGGAACCAACAAGGAACCAAAAAGATAGGAAGCTAACGAGACGTGTTGACTTGGGATTTGGCGTGCTTCGCATCCTGTATACGAGGAGGATGTTAGATAATTAATGTAAAATTCTTTTTAAAATCTCATCTAATAAATTAAATATTTTGATTGAAAAGATTTTAAAATAAAATATTAAATCTTTAATAATCAAATAGTTATAGATTTGAATTTTATTATTTTTATTTTTCTAATTAAATTAAAAATATAAAACTATCACACTTTATTGTCATAAACTTATTACCAGATTTTTTTCTCTTATATTATCGGAATGGATGATTACATTATAAGTATATTAATTTTTAATTTTTTTCAATCGAATATATGAATTTTATTTTTTTTAATTGATTATATCAATTTTTTTAAAAATTATCAATTAAATATTTTGATTAATTTTTTCGTTAACTCATGATGTATTTGGTACTCTCAAAATACCAAATTATAATTTTATATTTTTTCTCAATTGAGTACACGAATTTTAATTTTTTTATTTTAGTACATCAATTTTTCAAAACCGTCGGTTAAGTATTTTCATCACTTTCTTCGTTAATTGATAACGCATTTGAATATAAAATTATAATTTTATCCTTTTTTTGTTGAAAGAAACTTTCTCCTCAAACTATTTTACTACTTTATAATTTAAAAAATAATTAAAAAATTATTTTTTATCTCTAAAATTTTAAATTAAACTCAATTAGGTTGCTATTAAAAAAAACTCAGTTAAATTTAAAAGTGAAAATTGAAAAAAAAAAAACATAAATGAATATTCTCGTTGAAAAATCTCATATTTTGTATTTCTTTCAATTTTCATGTCCAAAACTTATTTGATTTTTTTTTAACAACAAGCCTTATTAAATTTAATTCAAAATTTTATAACTAAAAATAATTTTTTTTAATTTTTTTTCAAATTTTTAAAATGATAGAATAATTTAAGGAGAAAATTCCTTACAACAAAAGATAAAAAAATAATAATAATTTTGTATTCGGATATATCATCAATTAATTGAGAAATTGACAAAATTATTTGATTAATAGTTCAAAAAAATTAGTAAACTCAATATGAAAAAATTAAAGTTCATATATATCATTAAAAATATATATATATATAATTATAATTTGATATTTTAAGGATATATAATAGACACATTATCAATTAATAGAAAAATTAACTAAAATACTTGATTGATAATTTTAAAAAATTAACATATTTTAAAAAAATTATATATTTAATTGAGAAAAGATTGAAAGTTAATATATTTATGTTATAATTATCTCATTATCAAAATGCTCAAAAAAGTGAGAACAATGTTATATATATATATAATGGAGACGTTATTTGGCTATAAGAAATTAAGCAAGTACAGCCACTGATATTTTTGTCAGCGCACGGGGGCCCTTCTATGAGAATCTATGAGAAAGAAAAGAAAAGAAAAAAGAAGAGAGAAAGCAGCATTCATTTCAGTTCACATCTTCAAAAGCTGCATTCATGCTGTACGTTACCTGTGACCTTTATTGTGTGGAATACTACCATCCCCTTTTACGAGGTGATCATTTCTATTTTTAGTAACCATCAGAGCAGTTTGGTAAGACCTCGTAAAGATTGGCTTGGTAATAAAAAAAATAAAAAAAAGTTTGATAATATTCTTGTTTATCAGATTTCGAGCTAATATTTAAGAAATTTGTTAAATTAACATTAATGCAAAATATATATATATATATATATATATATATATTTAGCCTCCAGATTTAAATCCTTCCAATAAAGTTTTAGATATCAACATCTCCAGCATTAGCTATCAATATGATATTTTAGACTTTCGGTATCTAAATAGTAAAATCCAAATAGAGCCTCCAAGTAGATAATCCCAAAGTCAACAACTCCTAATTAACTCTCTCCTTCCACGTTTTCCTCACCAAGATAAATGGTGCGGCTCTATAACTTTCGGATTTTCCGAAATCCACACTCAACCGATTCTTATCATTCCACCTGTCACTCTTTCTTTCTGACAGCCCTCGTAGCCATCGATTCCGTTAAACCAAAACATCTCCTACAGATCCAACTGTGACAAAATCCCCTATCGCAATTCTATTGCTCACTTCATTATCACTCTACATTTTCAAATTCCATCACTGTCCCTCGTTTCTGAGTGCGTGTCCGTCTCTCTCTCTCTTACACCAAACGAGCAAAAAAGCATACGTTTTCATTTCTAGTGAGAAAACACAAAAAAATCACTCTCTCTCTCTCTCTTCTTTCTCTCACTGAGACCTATAGTCTTTCAACTAACCGGAACCCTAACTCGATCCACCGGTAAATTCGAGATTCCGGCAACTATTAATTTTGTGGTTCTGTTACCTTAGTTGAGTTTTATTAGGTTTTCGAAGGTGGAAGAGAGAGCTAGTTGATTTCTGCTGAGACTTCAAATTTCGTTCTCCCATTCACAATCTCCAACAAGACCATACCATAACTGTAAACATCTGATTTAGACGTTATAGGCAGGTTTGCTAGCCATTCTGGTGCCAAATGCCCTTTAGTGCCTCGAATGCTTGTCAAGGACCATTACCTTTGGTCCTTTGTGCTAATAAGCTTTACCCAGCCAAAATCGGACACCTTGGCATTGAAATTCTCATCCAGAAGAATGTTTTCTGGTTTGATATCACAATGAACAATGCAATCTGGACATTCCTCGCGCAGATATGTGATTCCTCTTGCAGTCCCAAGAGCAGTGTTGAACCTGTACTTCCAATTTAACAATTTCCCCGACTGATCTTCGGTTGTGAACAAGAACTGATCTAAAGACCCTTTTTTCATGAACTCGTACACTAAAACCCTGTGACGCCCTTCGGAGCAAAACCCAATCAATCTGACCAAATTCAAATGGTGAGCGCTACTTATAATTGCAACCTCCATCCGAAACTGTTTCTCACCTTGTTCAATTCCCTCAAGTTGGTTCACTACAACAACTGTTCTCTTAGCAAGAACTCCTCTATAAACAGCATCATATCTTTCATGTTTTTCTTGGAGTTTCAAGCCCTTTTTTTTCCTTCTTTTTTAATTGAGTAAGGATTAATTAGTATGATCTCGATTTTGATCTTCTTCCTCTCTCTCATAGCCTAGGCCTCTATCTCACCTTTCTTGTAAGTACCCTCTTCTTTTCCAACATACGCTTTTTTTCTTTTTAAATCATTCTGTGGAATTTTGGTAATCGTGAACTGAAATGAAGTGAATTTCAATCG